ACATGGGAGCAGCCAATTATATAAGGCAATTAATAACAAAAGCAAAGAAACACATTGACAACAATATAATAATAGTGGGGGACTTTAACACCCCCCTCACTGAAATGGACAGATCATCTAAAAGCAAAAGATCAACAAGGAAATAAAGACCTTAAATGACATACTGGACCAAATGGACTTCACAGACATGTTCACAACATTCCATCCCAAAGCAACGGAATACACATTCTTCTCTAGTGCCCATGGAACATTCTCCAAAATAGATCACATCCTAGGTCACAAATCAGGTCTCAACCGGTACCAAAAGATTAGGATTATTCCCTGCATATTTTCAGACCACAATGCATTGAAACTAGAACTCAATCACAAGAGTAAAGTCAGAAAGAACTCAAATACATGGAGGCTAAAGAGCATCCTACTAAAGAATGAATGGGTCAACCAGGAATATAAAGAGGAATTAAAAAAATTCATGGAAACCAATGAAAATGAAAACACAACTGCTCAAAATCTTTGGAATACAGCAAAGGCAGTTCTAAGAGGAAAGTATATAGCAATACAAGCCTTTCTCAAGAAACAGGAAAGGTCTCAAATACACAGCCTAACCCTACACCTAAAGGAGCTAGAGAAAAAACAGCAAATAAAGCCTGAACCCAGCAGGAGAAGAGAAATAATAAAGATCAGAGCAGAAATCAATGAAATAGAAACCAAAAGAACAGTAGAACAGATCAACGAAACTAGGAGCTAGTTCTTTGAAAGAAATTAACAAGATTGATAAACCCCTGGCTGAACTTATCAAAAAGAAAGGAGAAATGACCCAAATCAACAAAATCATGAATGAAAGAGGGGAGATCACAACCAACTCCAAAGAAATACAAACAATTATAAGAACATATTATAAGCAACTCTATGCCAGCAAATTAGATAACCTAGAAGAAATGGATGCACTCCTAGAGATGTATCAACTACCAAAATTGAACCAGTAAGAAATAGAATACCTGAACAGACCTATAACCACTATGGAAATTGAAGCAGTCATCAAAAATCTCCCAAAAACCAAAGCCCATTCCAAAAAATAAAAATGGAAGGAAAACTTCCAAACTCATTTCATGAGGCCATCATTACCTTGATCCCAAAACCAGAGACGCCATCAAAAAGGAGAATTACAGACCAATATCTTTGAACATGGATGCAAAAATTCTCATCAAAATACGAGCCAATAGGATCCAACAGTACATTAAAAGGATTATTCACCATGACCAAGTGGGATTTATCCCTGGGCTGCAAGGTTGGTTCAACATCCGCAAATCAATCAACATGATACAATATATTGACAAAAGAAAGAACAAGAATCATATGATCCTCTCAACAGATGCAGAAAAAGCATTTGACAATGTACAGCATCCTTTCTTGATCAAAACTCTTCAGAGTATAGCGACAGAGGGTACATACCTCAATATCATAAAAGCCATCTATGAAAAACCCACAGCAAATATCATCCTCAATGGCGAAAAGCTGAGAGCTTTTCCCCTAAGGTGAGGAACGCGGCAGGGATGTCCACTGTCACCACTGCTATTCAACGTAGTATTAGAAGTCCTAGCCACAGCAATCAGACAACAGAAAGAAATCAAAGGCATCCAAATCAGCAAAGAGGCAGTCAAACTCTCACTCTTTGCAGATGATATGATACTGTATGTGGAAAACCCAAAAGACTCCACCCCAAAACTGCTAGAACTCATACAGGTATTCAGTAAAGTAGCAGGATATAATTTCAAGGCACAGAAATCAGTGGCATTCCTATACACCAACAACAAGACAGAAGAGAGACAAATCCAGGAGTCGATCCCATTTACAATTGCACCCAAAACCATAAGATACCTAGGAATAAATTTAACCAAAGAGGCAAAGGATCTGTACTCAGAAAACTATAAAATACTCATAAAAGAAATTGAGGAAGACACAAAGAAATGGAAAAACGTTCCATGCTCATGGATTGGAAGAACAAACATTATGAAGATGTCAATGCTACCTAGAGCAATCTACACATTCAATGCAATCCCCATCAAAATACCATCAGCTTTTTTCAAAGAAATGGAACAAATAATCCTAAAATTTGTATGGAACCAGAAGAGACCCCGAATAGCCAGAGGAATGTTGAAAAAGAAAAGCAAAGCTGGCGGCATCACAATTCCGGACTTCCAGCTCTATTACAAAGCTGTCATCATCAAGACAGTAGGGTACTGGCCCAAAAACAAACACATAGATCCATGGAACAGAATAGAGAGCCCAGAAATGGACCTTCAACTCTATGGTCAACCAATCTTCGACAAAGCAGGAAAGAATGTCCAATGGAAAAAAGTCTCTTCAACAAATGGTGCTGGGAAAATTGGACAGCCACATGCAGAAGAATGAAACTGGACCATTTCCTTACACCACACACAAAAATAGACTCCAAATGGTTGAAGACCTAAATGTGAGACAGGAGTCCATCAAAATCCTACAGAAGGACACAGGCAGCAACCTCTTCGACCTCAGCCACAGCAACTTCTTGCCAGAAACATCGCCAAAGGCAAGGGAAGCAAGGGCAAAAATGAACTCTTGGGATTTCATCAAGATAAAAAGCTTTTGCACAGCAAAAGAAACAGTCCACAAAACCAAAAGACAACCGACAGAATGGGAGAAGATATTTGCAAACGACATATCAGATAAAGGGCTCGTATCCAAAATCTATAAAGAACTTATCAAACTCAACACCCAAAGAACAAATAATCCAATCAAGAAATGGGCAGAAGACATGAACAGACATTTTTCCAAAGAAGACATCCAAATGGCCAACAGACACATGAAAAAGTGCTCAACATCGCTTGGCATCAGGGAAATTGTGGTATGTATACACAATGGAATATTATGCAGCCATCAAAAGGAATGAGATCTTGCCATTTGCAATGACGTGGATGGAACTGGAGGGTGTTATGCTGAGTGAAATAAGTCAATCAGAGAAAGACATGTATCATATGACCTCACTGATATGAGGAATTCTTAATCTCAGGAAACAAACTGAGGGTTGCTGGAGTGCTGGGGGGGGTGGGAGGGATCGGGTGGCTGGGTGATAGACATTGGGGAGGGTATGTGCTATGGTGAGCGCTGTGAATTGTGCAAGGCTGTTGAATCAGAGATCTGTACCTGTGAAACAAATAATGCAATATATGTTAAGAAAAAAAAAAAAGAAGATAGGAGGAGGGGAAGAATGAAGGGGAGTAAATGTGAGGGCGAGACAAACCATGAGAGATGATGGACTCCGAAAAACAAACTGAGGGTTCTAGAGGGGAGGGGGCGGGGGGATGGGTTAGCCTGGTGATGGGTATTAAAGAGGGCATGTTCTGCATGGAGCACTGGGTGTTAGGCACAAACAATGAATCGTGGAACACTACATCAAAAACTAATGATGTAATGTAATGTATGGTGATTATCATAACAATAAAAAATTTAAAGGTAAAATAAATAAATAAATTAATAAATAAATAAAAAGGTGAACTTTGACGGAAAAAAAAATTTTACATGCTTTATCACAGTGAATTCTTCAAATTTAAAGGATTCTATTATTCATCCCATTTTACAGATGAAGTAACTGAGAGCTAGCAGAGATTAAGAAATTTATCTTAAAAACTGTCGAAGTTAGAATTCTAACACAGCTCTAATGGATGCCAAACATTTTGCATATTGCCTTCTAAAACTACTTTTCCTCCAACAGCATTATTAAAACTGAAAAATCTATCTTTTCCTTTGCCTGTGATTACTGTCCTCCAACAAAATTCAAGTTTATCACTATGATCACCAGCTACAAAATAATTTCATCTAACTCACTTTTGCCTTTATCCTCAAATAAATAAGAGATGACATTTGTTCTGCCACAGATCTAGCATATTCTGTTCTCAATGTGAGTAATGATGTAGAGAGACCTTGATTTCTTTAAGTAGGCTAATAGCTTTTTAAAGAATTCCAATGAAAAAGTTATTTTAAATGGCCAGTAATGCTTATTGTTTTTTGTGAAAGCAACATAATATGTTTTCTATACTTTGAAAAGGACTCAACCTAAAAATGTTTAAATGTAAGCAAGGAAAACCATCAAACCATGTTACATCTCTGAAGAGGAGAAATTTTTCTCTCTGGAGTATTTTATGTATTTACTGTAGAATAAATATTAAGCATTTCCTAAGTGCAGGAAACCATTATGATGGTCACCTGTGGATCTGTTTAGAGGGGATAGCCAAGATGACTAATATTTTACACTTAATATATTTTACAATTACCTTACATTTTTCTTTAATTATTTTGTGTGTCTCCACATCTTGCCTATCCCAGTACATGACACTTCCTTGAAGGCAGGATTTAGGTCTCATACTTGCCTGTTATTCACAAAATCCCCTGCATCCATAATCAGGACTCAATAAACTCCTATGAAACTGAATTTGATTTTACTCAGCATGAACACGAAAATATGCCTTAGTGATATATCTGAACATATTTAGGAAAGCTATTTTTCTACTATATATGAAATTGGTTCCAGACAGAGCATGGGTTAAAATAACTGCAGGCTGTGATAACAAGACGCTTACACAGACACACACACACACACACACACACACACACACACGTTTTGAATATATATGCTACAAATGCTAGAGAAAATTTAAATTAACATTTGGTGGTAAACCCAAGATCGAACTCTATAGAAAATATTATCCATTCCAACTACCTATGCATAATTTTCTTTAGTTAATCATATTCAGCCCCTACTATGTGCCAAATCCTTGTATACATGTTTAGTTTAGACCCTGTGTAATAACACATTATCCTCTCCACTGCACACAGGAAGAAATGGAGGGTAAGGGATATTAGAACGCCTTGCCCTATGTCACAGTGACAAGTTGTAATCCAGTACTTAAAACCACACCTCCCTATCTTTAAACACTGAGTAGGCAGAAGACAGAAATAGTCCTTACCGCCTGGGCTGGTTCCAATTACTGTATGCTGAATTTTGAAGCTCACTTTCTTCTCCCTCTCCTTCTTCTCGCTCTGGTAGTTCTGGAATGTCTCTGTTAAAAATTTACACAGTGAATACTCCAAAATCCTAGTAAAACTGTGCAAGTTTGTCTTATATATACTTTACTACTGATTTGCTAAAAATCAGTACTACTTCATATTTTCACCATACTTGGCCCATTTTACATTAAGGGGAAAAGAAAACCTAATCAAATGAAAATAAAAACTTGACATTAGAATCAATCTACCATAATTTAGTCTGGAAATAGAGCTGAACACTAAAATTCTTAGCTAGTCTGTTTCTTTCCCAAGGAAACATGGGAGAATAAGGAAAAGGAACAAGAAGGGGAAAATATCAGAATTTTAAAGAAAAAACTTCAACAAGTATTTCTTAAACACAACATATAAAAGGTAGAAGCACCACATGGGTTATAAGCTTACATAACCCTGATCAATCTCTGACTTGAAAGAACTTATCATCAAGTAAGGCAGAAATTTAGCATCTCTGTCTCCTAAGGATGGGCCAGTATTTTCCATTCAAGAAAAATATAAAATGCTTAAAGTCCAACTTCACTCCATCCAGAAGGACCACACACAGAATACTCCTTACAGAAAGCAGTTCACGATGTCCTTCTATTTAAGGTCACTTTTCAATTTCTGTAGGAATTCAATTTTGCCAAAGGCCAGGCATAACAAAATGTGTCCAGTCTGTTAACTATTTGTAAATTAAACTATAAATAACCATATTGATAAATACTTTGCTTTCCCAAAGGTATACTTTGTATTAATGAGTGACATCGTAAGGGCAATAGAGAATGGTTAAGCAATTATGGTGTGTCCTTAATGCTGTTAAACTTGGCTTTCCAAAGATGAATGTCTACATATTCCTTTGAAAGCAAAGAAGGCTATAAAAACTCTGATTTAATAAATGTTTGCAACTGATTTTTATAGAAACTGAATAATCTAAAGAAAATATACGCTCAAATTATATCTATTCTCCAGTGACAGGAATACTGAACTCTGTCAAATCACATAACCTTTAGACTCTGAGATCAGAGGTCATATAACCCAATAATCATCTGTGTTTGAATATGTTTCACAACATCTTTGGAAAGCAACTAACTGTCCAGGCTCTCCCTAAACATGTCATTCTTCCTTTGACCTAAATGTTAGATTTCTGCTTTTCCACTATTAAAGGAAAATCTACCTGGCTAGCTGTACTACCTACTGTTGTATGTTTGAATTCCTCTCCTGAGCAAGTTGAGGAAGAAGGTTCTGAATGAGGCTGGGATCCCATAGCCTAAGCATGACAGTGAGACAAGACTTTTGGGAATGGATCCACATAAGGGATTTCATTTTATTTTATTTTTTCAAAAAGGGGATTTTTAAAAAGGACGTTAAGAAGCAGACTGAGAACAAGATAGACTGAGGGAAGCTGTATCCTGACGATGCAGGGCAGAAAGGTGAACATGAGGCTAACCCTCAGGAAACAGAGCTGGAGGGAATAGGAGAGAAGGAAGGTATGGAATACAGACAATAATGAGAACTTAAAATGAGTTCCTAAAATATTCAGTGACAGCCACGGGGAGGGGGAGGATCTTACCCATCAAGTCCAAGCTCAGGGAGCTACTCGGGCACACTCTCAGATATACTGGATCACATCTTCCTGCCTTATTAGCTATAAGAAGACTAATATCCTGAATCCTCTGATACAAAACCCCCATTTTCTTCAAACAATTCTATAATCCATGAATCCTTTCATCAACCCAGATAAGCCCCTATAAATGTGTTGGTCGTTCTTTATGTTGTTCATGCTTATGATGTTCAGCTCAACACTTTCCAAAAAGTAAGAAATAACCATTAAAAATGTTTCTGAATCTGTATGTATGTTAATAAAAAAATAAATAAAATTTCTGAACATGTTTGAAAACATTTATGAGAGAGGAAAAGGCATGATACAATATCAAACTGTAGGCACCAGTGAATTAATGAAATAATACTGAGATCTGAGAATTCCCCAAACTTAGTATATGAAGAGTACTATGCAGAGTGGTGCAGCTTAAGATGATTTAATTTCTTGGTTTGAGTGTTCATATATTTTCCACATTGTATGATACTTTCTTAACTAATGGGGAGGATGGGGTAAAATTTTTTTTTTTTTTTTAATCTGGAAAGAGACAAAAGGGAATCACTGTTTTTCATTGCTAATCCTGCTGACTCTGGCTTCAAAGTCTCCTTTGGAGCTTGCTGCATCATTCATTCCCTGCACGGAGCTCACTGCTTCACTCACCTGCCAGAGGATGAAGAAAAAATATCCAGGGCCATTATTCCTCCAGATTGTTGCCCCAAACTTATTTTGAACTCTTCCAAATGTTCTGCGGGCACATAAGTAATTCTGGAACAGAACACAGTCCATGAAAAAAAAAATAAAAAAGGAAAGCAAAGTTGTGCCTAACAGGAAAAGATTCCAAAATAAAGAAATAAAATGATCTTGTCCCTTCATCCCTACTTTTTCAAACAACTCATTTAATCAGCTTACTCAGCAAAGATGCCAAACTTGGAAAGGATAACGCATCCTATATGCAAAAATAACAGATTAAAGTTTAAAGTTTTTACTGTAAATTTTAAACAACAATTAAACTTTAAAATGCTGATAAACTACGTGTTTACCAATAATCATATGGGGGAGAAAAGCAGCATCATTTCAATTTCCAAATGAGAAAACTAACAGCAATTTTTAGAAAGATCTATTAATCCTGGGGCACCTGAGTGGCTCAGTTGGTTAAGCGTTTGCCAGGGTCCTAGAATCCAGCCCCTCGTGCAGCTCCCTGCTTAGCAAGGGGGAGTATGCTTTTCCCTCTCCCTCTGCCCCAACCCCAGCTCGTGCTCTCTCTCCCTTTCTCAAATAAATAAATAAAATCTTTTTAAAAAGAGGATCTATTAATCCTTACAAATATAACTGTCAGTAATAACATTAATTTCATCCAAAGACTTTTGGGTTCCTTAGCAGGAACAAATTACACATACTCTGCTAAAATACTGGCTACCCCAAATTACTTTACATTCTTCCATGATGCATAATTAAGTATGGGAATTAACAAATATATAATAATTAGATGTGAGCTCTATTAAGTTATGAACCCAAAAGTCTGAAGTTCAAACTAGCATAAGTTTATGGGCAGACTCTCTTACTAATTTGTAGCAACTCTGTAATAAGTTATTTTGGTTTTAGAGAAAAGCCTGATGTTTACACTTGAATGGTCACTTAGTAATTAAACAAGTACTGGCTGAATGCCTGTAATGTGGAAGGCACTGAGCAAGATGTTGACTACAGCTGTAATGTTTAGAAACTGATATTTGAAAATTCAAGTTTACTGCTGTCCTATAAAAGGCTAGATAACCAATATACCTCCAAGATCCTCAACTTAAGGAATAGGTAAGAGAGACACTGAATTACAAATTGGTTCTGCACTTGTGCAACTAAAAAAGAAGTATGTATCAAAATTACACAATATAAAAATCATGAAGACTATTAAACTAGCTATCCATAAGTTACCCATGAAGACAATAAGTACATAAAACCTTAGCAGGGGAGGCACAGATAAAAGGACTGTCTTTTATGTCATAATAAAATCTGAATTATGCCACTGGTATAATTTACTGAGGAAGGAAGATATGTAATTTCAGACATATTGGATATTCCATAAAAAGCATTCACTCTGTGAGGTCACTTAAATTTGGAGTCAGAAAACACAGCTCTGTTTGCTCATCAGAGTGTAATGGGGGGGGGGGCGGTAAACCACTACCAAATCTCCATATCCTCAGTCACAAGAAGGATGTCACTTTTCATGCGGCTATTGTAGCTGAGAAGCATAAAACAAATATAAGACAGTGCTTTACCAGGGCATAAGCTAGCCTGGTCACGCCTGATCACTCTGGGCAGACCCTGTGGACCCTTGGGAGTCTCTCTTCATGACACTTTTACCTCCAGGACCAAAAAATAAAGCAGAAAGCACAGTTCAGAGGGTTTAGGAATACACTGGGAGACAGAGTCGCATTCTAATTCTGGTTCTACTTAATTTATTCATCTACAAAAACACCTTCTCTATGGTGTTAAAAATATATTGAATAGTAAATTTGAATTTATCCCTTCCCAAAATAATGAGTAAAAAAATGTGTAACACATTATGTCAGGAAGATTGATTCTATTTTATACAAAGACAAATAAAGATAAACCTAAAAAGCCTATTCAAGAAAACTGGTATTGGGGCGCCTGGGTGGCTCAGTCGTTAAGTGTCTGCCTTCGGCACAGGTCATGGTCTCGGGGGTCCTGGGACAGGGCCCCAAGTCATCAGGCTCCCCGCTCAGCAGGGAGTCTGCTTGTCCCTCTCCCGCTGCCTCCTCCCCTGCTTATGTTCTCTCTTGCTGTCTCTCTCTCTTAAATAAATGAAAAATAAAATCTTAAAAAAAAAGTATTATTTCTGAAGATTCAATAAAGGTAAAACATATAAATTAAAGTCAGGAAGAGGTGAGGGGGGGAAAGCTAGAACACACTAGCAAAGATAATAATAATCAGTTCAAAGGATTGTGTTTTTTAAATGTTTTGAGAAGGGAAAAAATGTTTCTATCCCAAACAACGCCAAAAATGAATTTTCCTCTATATTTGTCCCAAACTGTTTTACAAATATTTTACTGATATTTTAGACAGCAGTAAGAAAGAGGAAAGAAAGCAGTTTTCATAAATATCTACCCCAATACAGACAGTGAGGACACCAGAACAAGGTTCCCACAATGCAACAGCACATGCAAAGCAATTTCAATACACGCCTGGTCACACGGCACACAAAACCTCCGAATCCCAGGAAGGGCACCAAAAATGAATTATGAACTGAATAAACACACTGAAACAGCTTCTTTGAGGGCTGTATTAAGGATTCTTACACGTAAACTAATCTTTGGTTACAAATGGAGTGGAAGGATGAAGAATAGCATTAATGATGCTGAAATGTGATCCGGCTATTAACCCAGACACCATGCCTGCACACACAGGTAGGATCATTCCCTACAAAGGAGCTTGAAAGCTTAGTAGTTGGAAAATATGATTTTCAAATGAGTTCCCAATCAACAGTGCAATGTGAACATGTAACAATCTCATAGTTCTGCTGGGATTTACATTCTCACATAAATGAAGAAAAGAAAGCCAAACTGTACACACTGAGTCTCTATCTGGATCTACCCCTGCAATGGGAAGTTACAAAAGCATGAAATGGTTTTCACAGACAAGTTGTAACACACAGCCATAATGAGCTTTTGAATCACCGATACTCACACATAAAAGGGGGCTCGATCATCAGCAGGTGCTGCAGAAAATCTAGAATGTGTAGCATACGCGGCGGCATCTTTTTACAATGGTGTTAACAAATGTCAGTGTCTTGTGTGGAATGTGAGATGCATACATATGTAGTTACAAGTGGGTGCTCCTGGTTGTTTTTTTTTCCCCTTTCCACCTCCCTCCCCACTGACACCTCCCCCGGAAAAGCATCTGCTCTTTACTGGTGTCTATAGCAGTGATTATTAACAAGCATAGAAAAATGTAACTGCAATCAATCTTTTATTCCTTGATCAGGAATTCATCCCACACTTTAGGTTAAGGCAGGTGAATTCTGATTCAGCTCGGTAATTATCTGGCAGATGTTAGAAGCAGCTGCTGCTAAGCACAAAACCCTGGCTATTATTACAGAAATATAAGAGCTCCTGGCAAGGTGGAGTGAGAAGTGAAACAGAATGCATTCTGGTGAGGCTTCACATCTGGTTTTCCATAAAAAATAATGAAACCTGGAACTTAAACTGGCTGTTCTTGAACTCTTGAAACTCAAATTATCTACCCAGGCACGCATGAATGCACACACACAAAGTTCCTTGCTATCTATCGCAAACGGCAAAAAAGAAATTCGGTGCGTTGTCTTCAATAAGCAACGCTTTTCCTAAAGCCAATCAGTTACGAAACTGAACCATTTAGAGTCTTTTTTTTTTTTTTTAAGTCCCCCCAATAGACTCCTCCACTACCATCCCACATTAAACTCAGTTCATAACAAGAGACAAAGAGGAAGAGATATGGATGGAGCCTAGATCCACGTAATGACTACAAAGCTTAATTGGCCAGAGGCAAGGATATGGTTCCGTTCAGAGTAATGGAAGGACTAGACTTTCCTTTTGGGAGAATTATTCACATAGCTCTTAATGTAATTCTAAACCTTCTGCTACATAAAAGCTAGTGATAAGAAAGGGACAGGGCCAAAACACTTCATGCAAAATGCTGCTCAGCCCTGGTCAATCTAAATGGCTATTTATTTTTATCATTTCACACACTTTTTCTGAAAAAGGATTGTATGATTCGAAATTCTCTCGACCATTTACCCCCTAAGTCAAACCATAACCATCTGAATCTCAGCCTTAGTAGGACACTTGGGAAGAAATCAACGTGTTTTGTGATTATGCTTATGAATTATGTGTGTGTGCGCCCACACACAGGTGAGAATGTGAGAAAGAGACTGATTGGCTAATTGATTTCCAGAGGAGGGAAAGTTGCAGGATTTTTCTTATTCTCTTTTTTAATTTAAGATACTACATTTTGACTCCTGGGATCCTAAGGCAACAATGTATGAAGTTACCTCAGATATCCTTAAAGGCCCTAATAAAGCTGCTGTAGGCATGAATGGGTCCATCCTGGTGCTGACTCAGAAGGTGAGAAAACAAACAAAGCAAATGACAATAGCAATAGAAAAAAGGAAACGAGAAAAAGGACTTTGGGAGCTTGAAAAAGTACCTGACAACTTTCCTAGAGTTGACTAGATGTCTAACTATGCTAAATCAATGTCACAATGGTCTTATTTCTTGGTCACTTTCTAAGTGTTGCAGTACATTAGAACTGAGGGGAACAGCGAGATAACCAAGCACCAATTCTGGTGCTCAGAGTGCCAAAAAGTGGGCAGGGGACCTGCACCACTGCTCCCAGCAGAAGACATGCATTATCACACAATAAATCAAATGACCAATTACCAGGCCATGTGTGTTTTATACTACATCTAAACTATGTAAGCTAAAAGCCTTTCAGTAAGGGGTCCCCATGTGGTCTATATCCTTCATCTTTGAAGCTAGCGGGATGGACACTGGCCCACAAGTGGTAAAGAAAGCTCTTAAAGTTTTTATTTTTTCTTAGAGACACTGAAATTTTTAATGTACTTGGACTCACCTTATTAAGATAATTGAGGAATTGTCACAGGATGAAATGATCTATTCCATTATAAAAGTCAAAAGGGCATGAAAAATTATGAAAGCCCATTAGAGAAATTCTGCCCCCAAATAATACTACTTTTGTATAAGATGGCAGAATCCACTTCAAACAGTATATATTTTTCTGCTTTTAATGATGGCAGAATGAAAACAGACTATAAATATATTTTTTCTTATCTAAGGTCCAGCAATATATACATTGCAAAAGAATAATATAGAATGCAGTCAGTAAAATAACATTAATACAGCAAAGTTTCCCATAATGGTAATCATTACATCAATTTAAGGTAAATAATCTTTCCCTGAGCTCTTATTTTACTATTTTATCCCTTATACATTATATAAAAATATTCAATGGTTAATGCTAGAGAAAAAAAGCCAAGCTATTACATTGATGAGGTGTGACAGAGTCATGAACTGATTTTTATGTTGGCTCAAGAAATGTTTAATAACTTTAAAAACCAAGCCACATCTATAACGTGCTTTTAGCACATTATGGGATTATGGGATAGTTTAAGCACTTCCTGACAAAATATCCTACGTGACCTACAATCGGACTATACCAATATACTGGTGAATTCTCTTGGATCATGAGGTAGTTGACAAAACAGTAAATTATGGGTCAGACTGATGCTGTTCTATACGGTCTTTTCCATGACTGGCCATTAAAGAACTAGCTTAGTCCTAGGATTCATATACATCAATTAGGTAGTACACAGTCCCTTACATTGAGGCCAACCCAAACTTCTTTGTAAGATCCTGAGTGGACCCTCCTGCTCTGTGAGAGATGTCTCAGGTTTTTGCAAAAGCACTGGAGTAAAATTAAACACGGGAGGCAAATCATTTTCAAATATTTCAACATCGTATAAAGAAACTATATCTACAATCAAGAACTATTCAGGAATAGTCAAATTCCTGAGGGATTTATTTTTAATAAATATGTGATAATTTCTGCATATTAAACAGAAGTACATACTGAAAAAAAATTCTGATTCATGAATTGAAATTCTCAAACTTTCCAAGCCAAATTGGAGTCCAAAGGATACTTACTTTATGTCAGGCCCAATGAGAGAGTGTCTTCTCAACATCGCTCGTGCCTGGGCACTGGTTAAACTGATAGTAGATTCTTCATTAATAGATAAGATGCAGTCCCCAACAGCAATCCGGCCATCTCGACTAATGGAACCTCCATGAATAATGCTTCGAACGATCATCCCCAAGCCATCTTTATTAGCACTCACTGTCATCCCTATGCGAAAGGAGGAGCACAGATATGCATCAAATTCGTGACCCTCACATTCATTTTAACCTGAATTTAATAATCCCTATGGATTCATAGATAAAAGAAGAGTAACTTTTTTATCCAATAAAAAAACAATCAAAAGGAAAGAAAAAAGTTCCTAACACAAAATATATTTTAAGTACATTTTAAAATGTTTCTGAATTGTATCTAGAAAAAGACATTCTATGTTGAATATACTGGAGATGAAATAGGTCTACGCTGTGGAGTGAATATAACTCAGGCTATTTGATGTGTTGCCCCCTAAATAGAAAACTCTCCCAAGGAAGATATTTTGACAATAACAAATCAATTTTATAGCAGTTCATCTCTTATACATAGAAGAGAATAAAGAGCAAGACTACAAATGGAAAATGAGTTTATAAATTAAGAAACTCCATGTTATTACCTTATTTCTAGATCATTTATTCATTCATTGTATATTTACTATATACTTACTATGTGCCAAGTTCTATGATGATTTCTTGAGATGAAAAGTGCATACCTAACACCAAGAAGCTTGTATTCAAGTCTTATCCTCAGTGCCTGATGTACAGCAGTCTGTTTAACTAAAGTAATGTGGACCTAATTCTAATCTCTTCCCATTTCATCTCTAAATCTGAAGTTCCAGGAGCTCCAGATCCGGATATTTTCATTGCCTTCCTGACATGTTCCCTAGATGGCTAATAGGAAATGCAACCTTAGTATATATAAAATTGAATTTCCAAGTTTTCACTTCCCTTATTTCACCAGGTCCCTTCCCCTCTTTGCTAAGGGTATCATTATGCTCCTCTGCATTTCTCAAAGCAGAAATGCTGGAGTGGTTCCTCATTCCTAACTCCCTCGCTCACCTCTTATCTCTAATCCATCACCATGTCCCGTCATTTCTAGCTCCAAAATTTATCTCGAATGCATCCACCTTTCACTGTTTCCACACTAACCCAACACCAAGCCGGCACTCCTTGCCTCACTTTTTGAAACAGCTTCCTAATTGCTCTTCCTAATTGGTCTTCTGACAACCGCCAATGCGTTCTTCTCAGAACAGACACAGCGACCATTCAAAAGAGATCACATCACTCCCTCGCTAACAATCCTTTACCGGTGTCCTGTGGTGCTTCATATACAGCACACCTAATTGGCACAGATGTAGGGCACTGATGGACTGGCCCTCCCGACGTCACCCGTCTTGAACACCATGCCCTTGGCTCCCCGGCCTCCAGCCTCATGGACTGCTTTCCAAAATACATCCAGTCTCTCCCCACTCAGTCTTTGCCTGACACCATCTTCCTGCAGCTCTCGCACAGCCAATTCCTTCTCATTCTTCAATACCACTCCATGAGAAAGGGTTTCTCAATAAACACCCTCTGAATTTATGTTTCCTTCTCATCCTACCCTCATTCTACTTCTTCAAAAATATAAAACCTTTTGAAATTATGTTTAAAACTTTATATAAAATTAATGTAAGGAGGGCGCCTGGGTGGCTCAGTTGGTTAGGTATCTGCCTTCGGCTCAGGTCATGATCCCAGGGTCCTAGGATTGAGCCCCACATTGGGCTCCTGGCTGAGTGGGGAGCCTGTTTCTCCCTCTGGCCCTACCCCCCTCTTGTACACTCTCTCTCTCAAATAAATAAAATCTTAAAAAATTTTTTTTTTAAATTAATGTAAGTAAACTCACGTAAAACCAAGGGTAAAAGTTCCTTCCAAAAAAGATTATGTAATTAAATAATGTAAGGGAGAGCTATAAAGCTATAAGGGTAGTTTATAAAAACTGGCTTTGAGAGACGTCACAAATTCCTTTTAAGGTTTGTATTTTTTATATAAAAATAAAGAAATTCTTCTATATATTAATTTTAACAATACCAAATTAGACATATTTCAAATATCTTTTTTTAATTTTTAAAAGATTTTATTAATTACTTGAGGGGAAGACAGTGAGCGAGAGAGAGCATGAGCAGGGAGGGGCAGAGAGAGAGGGAGAAACAGACTCCCCACTGAGCAAGGAGCCCGATGCGGGACTCGGTCCCAGAACCCTGGGGATAATGACCTGAGCCAAAGGCAGATGCTTAACCGACTGAGCCACCCAGGTGCCCCGTATTTCAAGTATCTTTTTAAGAACAATCCTGACTATAATATGTTTCCAACTTGATATTTCATGTCTAGATATGGGACATCCGAGCTCTAGTTATCAAGTTATAGTTCTCTCGTAGAAATGAACCATTATCAAATGTATTTAAAATATTCTGTTAAGACTTATACTAATGATTTTTATTTTTATTTATTTTTTTAGCAACCACAAATTAAGTTTGATTGGAACTTGACTGCGGCTGTTCACTGATGGATCTTCCATGGCTGTGTTCATGGTGCACCAGCAGAGCTGAGCAGGAGCAACGGAGGTTGTATCCCCTACAAAATCGAATGTATTTATTGTCTGGTCCCTTACAAAAAAAGTGTGCTGACCCCTGTTTTATATCATCATGGGAAATTTGCTAGTTCTTGGCTCTACCTCAATTTTCCCAGCCATGGAGATTCTTTTTTTCCCAACAGCTTGATCAAAGAATAGTTGACAAAGAAACTGTATATATCTCAAGCATATAATGTGATGATTTGATAGATGTATACCTTGTGAAATGGTCACCACCACAGTTCAGTTACTTACATAGTTACCTTTTTCATGTGTATGAGAACACTTAAGTTTGATTCTTTTAGCACATTTTAAGTATACAATATAGTACACTAACTATGGTCAGCATACTGGACATGAGATCCCCAGAACCGGCTCATCTCACAGCTGAAGGCTGTGAGACCAGCATCTCCCCATTTTCCCCATCCTTCAGACCCTGGAAAAAACTATTCTACTCTGTTTCTGTGAGTTAAACTTTTTTAAAAAGTTTCCACACATAAATGAGATCACGCAGTATTTATCTCTCTGGCTTATTCACTTAGGTCCATCCATGTAGTCACAAATGGCAGGAGTTCCTCCTTTCTCATGGCTGAATAACAGTCCACTATAATGGACATTTTATTTTTTTATTTTTTTATTTTGTATTATTTTTTAGAAGCACATTTATTGATTTTAGTGTTCCTAAGAACTGTTTTCTGGGAAATTTTCTTTTTTTCCCCAAGTTTTTATTTAAATTCAAGTTAGTTAACATATAATGTAGTATTGGTTTCAGGAGGAGAATTTAGTGATTCATCACTTACATACAACACTCAGTGCTCATCACAAGTGCCCTCCTTAATGCTGATCCCCCATTTCAGTCCATCCTTCCCGCTACCTACCCCCCTCCAGCAACCCAGTTTGTTCTCTACAGTTAAGAGTCTCTTACGTTTGCCTTTCTCTCTGTTTTTATCTTATTTTTCCTTTGCTTCCCCTGTGTTCATCTGTTTTGTTTCTTAAATTCCACATGTAAGTTGAAATCACAGCAGCATTATCAACAATAGCCAAACTATGGAAAGAGCCCAAGTGACCATCGACTGATGAATGGATAAAGATGTGGAGAGTGTGTGTGTATAATGTGTGTATATGTGTATATATAATGTGTGTGTGTGTGTGTGTGTAATGGAATAGTACTCAGCCATCAAAAAGAAGGAAATCTGGCCATTTGCGATGGCATGGATAGAACACTAAGTGAAATAAGTCAGAGAAAGACAAATACTAATGACTTTTAAATGTATTATTGTCAAAAAAACACCTCTGCTTACCATAAACCAAGAAACAAGTTTAGACACTGTTTCATCCAAGATGGGTTTCTTATGAGCAAACAGGTGGCTCTGAAATGTTTCAATAGGTACTCTAGTTTGCCCTGATGCTGCCACCCTTCCCATCAAGACCCACCAAATAACTGTACTACAGTAAAACTAAAATGCATGACTATGAAACAAAATTTAACTTGGTGGCCTATACCAGGACCCTAACCCATCATCTTGTTCTCACTAGCACCATGCGCTCTACAATAAAGCAAGTCACAGATGTGGGACAAGTCACTGTGAGCTATAGTAAACATGACCTTTAAATTCATTTATTTTAAAGTTGTGAGATGTTTATTTATTTTTTTAAAGATTTTATTTATTCATTTGAGAGAGAATGAAGAGAGAGAGAGAGAGTATGAGAAGGAAGAGGGTCAGAGGGAGAAGCAGGCTCCCCGCTGGGCAGGGAGCCCGATGTGGGACTCGATCCCGGGACTCCAGCATCATGAACTGAGCCGAACGCAGTTGCTTAACCAACTGAGCCACCCAGGCGCCCTTTAAATTCATTTTTAATGGTATATTTAACTCACGATTCTATCCGCTATCACTATTAAGGCCACCAGGTCACATCAACTACATAAACCAGAAGTTGGCACAGTTTGCTCAGCTTAGAATCCCCTATCACCAAATGACAATTTTGCAGGTTCAACAAATTCAGTGTAATAGCCATTAATTAGATTTTGGTTGTAATTTCTAAGATCTCTTGAATTTTTCCTGGAAGAAGTGTAATAGAATAGCCCAAAGCATGGTAGAACCAGGGAACTGGTTCCAAATCGGGAGTTCCACCACTTTTAATCAGTGTGGCCTTGGGCTGACTTAATGTCACCCTTGGCTTCATTTTACTCATCTGTAAAATGGGAATAATGCCCCCTTTTAGGGTTGTTTAGAGAATTATCTGAAACAAACGTGGAGTTCCTTTCAAAGTGCCTGGCACAAAGTGCTCAATAAAGTACAAAATAAAAACAAAAGAAAACTCACAAAAATGTATTTTAAATCATCTCTATCCCAATCCAAAGCTGCATTGCTCTCTAAGGGCTAAACGCAAATTTTAATTCAGCTTCAAAATGAAACTTCTTTGAGCAATCTTGATGTAGCCTTGGGTAACTCAAGCACTTAAATGTATTATACGGTACATGAAAATCAGAGACAGACTAAGGTTTGAGTACTGGTTCTACTCTCTAACAGCTGAGTACTTACAGAGAAATTCCTGAGTCTGTCTATGTTTCTAGTCCTAATCAGTGAAAAGAGGATAATACCTTTCTTTCCTTACCTTTTTTACTTTTTCTTTTTACTTTCAAAGTCCTAATACAACATAATTATCCAATGGACCACAAACCTTATCAAAAACCATCAAGATTAAATTTTTTAAAAAATCACCATATGCATGTATAGTATATCTGCATATAACATTCCTCCCTTAAATTTAACAAAGTAAAAAAAAAGTGATTTGTGACATCAACGCAAACAGAATGTGGCAGCTTTTATGGAAACCTGTCATTTATTAATAATTTCTCTGGTTAACCCTTGACAAAGAAACAAATAATCCAGAAGGCTAAAGCTGCAAACAACCCTACACAGTTGATTAAAGGGAGAATCTGAATCTAAGAAAAATGTGTTCAGGGGCACCTGGGTGGCTCAGTTGTTAAGTGTCTGCCTTCGGCTCAGGTCATGGTCCCAGGGTCCTGGGATTGAGTCCCACATCGGGCTCCCTGTTCAGCAGGAAGCCTGTTTCTCCCTCTCTTACTCCCCTGCTTGTGTTCCCTCTCTTGCTGTGTCTCTCTCTTTAAAAAAAATTAAAAAAAAAAGAAAAATGTGTTCAGTGATAGACCCTATCTTAACATACTCTCCTACCAACACAAAGCCAGCCTCTAGTTAGGTTTTCTAAAACATAAACATGCTTTTTATTACTTTAAGTTGTAAAGACAACAACTTCTTACATTAAAAGCTTAAATGAATGCTTTAATTATTTTAATGCTTTACACAGATTTTTTTAAATAGGTCCTTTTTTGTGATTCCGTTCACATGCAGTTACTCTAAGTGCCATAAAAATCTGAATATTGAACATCTGTCATTTGAGATCATAGAGAAATGTTCTCTCTTTGGCATACTGAATGCAAACCCCAAAATGCTAGAGAAACCTCACTGGGTTCCAGAAAGTCTAACATCCTGGTACAAAGCCCTGTAAATATTTTGCATACATAAATTATTTCAAATAATGTCAATGAACCACAGAAATAACACTAAAAGTTACTTATACTTTTGATATTACAATTTAGTTGGTAAACTAATGATGGTATAATGTCACACTTATAAGTAAGTGGTTTAGTCTCACAAAGCAAATGAAAGGGCTTCCTTAGGTTTTACTTTAATTTTAAGAAAAAGCCTCAAATCAATACAGCTTTTATTGTATCTTTAAGATTTCATAAATAAGTCTAAAAATCATCTGGCATCTTGCTGTTTCTATAGCTGGATGACTTAGAACTCATTCATTAGCCTGCTGAACTGTTCCTTTTTTAAAAACATAGAAACCATCCAAAAATTTTCTGATATCCTTGCTTTTAACTGTTGTGGCTTGCTGAATCAGAGCAGCTGAGTTTGATACAGGTTCAATATCATTTCCTTTAAGAATTAACTCATGTTTCTGGGCTTGAGATACTGAACAAGCAACACTTGGCCTCATCTGAACCCTGCAGATGTATTTTTCACCCAAGACATTTTGGATTTCAACAAGAGAACCATTCTCCTGAATAACAACATCGATGGAGAAGTGACCATTCACAGACCTTGTACTGGAAGCCCAGTGTAACGCCCTTGGTCGTGTTCTCTACATGACAACAGATTACCACGGGCAGTAGCCCGTTCTGTTCAGTCCCCAACCATTTGTCAACTCAGAGCCTCTTCTTTTGCTTTCCAAGGAGACTGAGCTCTACATGGATGTGACTGATGTCCCTTCGCAGGGTTCCTCTGGGACCCTTCACAATACCAGTGCATCCCTTCAGAGGGAGGTCGACATCTTCTGTGTTGACAATGGTCTTTCACTCTCACAGTAGATGTGGCAAAGAACTCTTATGCTTTAATTTTAAAATCAGAGGTGACTGGGTGGCTCAGCTGGTTAAGCATCTAACTCTTGATTTCAGCTCAGTTCATGATCTCAGAGTCGTGAGATCGAGCCCCGTGTTGGGCTCTGCACTGCACGTGGAGCCTGCTTAAGATTCTCTCTCCCCCTCCCCCTCTGTCCCTCCCCCTGCTCACACTCTCTTTAAATAAATAAATAATTTGAAAAATAAAATAAAGGTTTAAATGACTATCTTGATGTAACAGAAAGCAAGGATACTTTACCTTTCACTACTTTTTTTCCCAAGAGCTTAATCATCTTAGTATTTTTTTTATGTCAAAACTCAGGAGTTAAGGTAGAAGCAACCCAAGTGTCCAACAACAAATGAAGGAATAAACAAAAAGGAATACTCAGCCTTAAAAAGGGAAATTCTGAAAATATTTTTTTAAAAAGGAAGGAAATTCTGACACATGCTATGAATGGATGAGCTTTGAAGACATTCTGCTAAGTGAATAAGCTAGTCACAAAGGGACAAATACTGTATGAGTCCACTTACATTAGGTACTTAGGACAGTCAAGATTTCTAGAGACAGAGAGTAGAATGGCTGCCAGGAACTAGGGGACAGGGAGATTATTTATTATTTAATGAGTATAGAGTTTCAACAGGAAAAGATGAAAAAGTACTAGAGATGTTTGGTGGTGATAGTTATACAACAATGTGAATGGACTTACTGTCACAGAAATGTACACTTAAAAATATTTAAAATGGTCAATTGTATGTATCTTAGAGCACACTGAAGAATGATGTAGCCTAACATACTAAAAGAACAAACAAAAACCCATTTGGCTGTCTCAACAGACAAAGAAAAATATTTGACAAAATTCAACATTCTCTCAGCAAACTAAAAATAGGCAAGCAAGCCAAAGGGTCGGTTTGTAAAATCAGGTATGGTCAAACCATGACTGTTAATTGAGTCTCCCAACTGCTTCCAAAATACTTCCCCAGTCTAAGCCAGAATCATCTTAAAACCCAATCTGACCCTGTCACTCTTCTGCCCTCAGCAACCACTGCCTATAGGAACCTCCAGCAGGAGGGTGCCAGGACAGAAGTCCTGTGTCCCGCACATGAACCCCTCCAGCAACTGTATCCCACCTACCATTCCATTAGCCTCAAGTCTCACTCCGCCCACTGTAACACCTCACTTCATCCACACCACACAAAGTTCAGCAGTGCTTCACATGTCTGCCTCAGCACTAGCAGCTTCCAATTTTTCCCAATTATGTGATAAAAATCTCCTTGAAATCTTTCTAAACTCCTCCACACTCAGAGTAAGGATCCGCTATTCCCTCCTTTACGCGTTCCATGTTCTTGCTATCAATGTCTAGCAGAGCATGTACAGTATTTTAATGCATTTAGGATTTCATATGTCAATTTGCTTACTCTCTTAAACTCATGATCCTTGAGGAAAGTAGTTAAATCATGGTGTCTATGCATAGTGACTAGAATATAGAAAACAATAAATGTTCAATAGTTGAATAAATAAATACATTAGAATAGGGATTTTCACCTGGGCTTTGCAAAATCTCTGCCTTATAAGGTCAAAAAAAAAATGGGTTCCATGGCCAATTAAATGTAAGAAATGCTGAATTCTATAACTTGTTAGACATCCACAATGCACATACCAAAGATACTGAGAATACAAACAGAAACCTGTCTCAAGTGTATTACATTCCCAACTTCTAAACTTGTAGCCCATTTATAACTTCCATTAACATCCTACAGAACTAGTATTCAAAGTAACATGCTTTCAGAAACACTTTACTAACAGATGAAATATTTCTGACATGTTTAGATATCTATGATATCTGTCTCATAATTAACAAATTACAGAAAGTTCTATAGCTTAAACGTAATATGTAAGAAATAGTAAAGTAAAAATTCTCTGCTATAATTCTCCATTTAGCTGCTGTTAGTAGTACCCAGCTGCCACCAAATGGAACAAAATTTAGAAGGAGAGAGAGACTGGAATTCTACTCACCAAGTAAGCACTGTTAGACTTCACTGCCAAGTCTCATATTTAGCAAGGAAACAAGACTCTGCCATAAGATATCAAGGCAAAGGGCATTGCTTGGTTACATGAGACAAGGAACAAGATCTCTGATGTAGAGCTAAACAGTGTCTTGGGCTGCGACTGGGCATCCCGAGCAACTAAGTTACGATCCTATTTATCAGCACCAAGCTCTAGGGAGAGAGCTGAGTCATGAACGCAAAAGAACAAATGTGCTCTGCCTCCATATAGTTTTAGCTATTGTAATTAGGATTTTATTTCTACGGGAAATCGTCTTTGCCCAATTCAGTAGGTTTTGTGATTATTAACCAGCCTCAACCCCTTTATGGGTAAAAGAGGACATAAAAATCCTGCCACCTGGAAAGAAATATTGAATAACTTGCATTTATAGTTTGGTGGTAGCACACCTGGCTGTCTTTTTAGTCTTTATTTCACTGAATGAGAGAAATTAAATACAAACTGACTTATGCATAACTGGTAACATTCAAAGAAACTAATAATTTACTTTTTCAAAGAATTCTAAATTCCAAATTGCTGACTTTTCATTTTCTAAGAATTCCTTTTCTGATTTGCTGTTTCATACACAAACAATTCATATATCTTTTACTTGAATGTGAATGAGGCTCATGAATACTTTTAAATAATTAAGAGAGTGAGGATTTAAGCTAGTCTGAAGTAAACAAACCTGTTAACCATTTCAGGAAAAATAAAGAGTACCTAAAAAGAGAAACCAGAAAAACTACAGGAACATTTATAACATCTATTTTACTGCCTACAGCCAACGATGCTGAAACCATGCTCAAGACTTTGTCTCTGGCAAGGGAGGTGAGAGGGAAGATACGTGTGCAAAGGAAGGCACTTACCTAGGCTGGAGTTGCCTTTTGCTATAGTAAGAGTCCTCTCAAACGATTCTTTGGATAGGTTTTGGAGCATGACGCACTCCGCAGTTGAGGTCAGGGAGCTCTGCTGAATTAAGAACTCGGCGCCCTGACAGAAAATAAATAAATAATTAATTAATTCACATGGAAAGGAAAACAAGACTTTGGAGTATGATTTCAACATCATCCATGTTCTCTAATTGGTTGTGCCTTCTTCAGCAGGAAGCTATAGCCAAAATAAGTTCATAGGTTGGATTCTGAAAATCTCAACATCAAGAGAGCACTTGCTCCAAATGCAGAGATCAGCCAGAATACTCCGTGTCACTGTTTCCAACCTCATCATCATATACAATACATATCTTAAAATCTTACCTTTCCAGTTGAATCAGGTAGCATGGGAGAAGTAAGTTCTGCACTTGGTATCATTTCATTTGGTAGGTGAGATTCAGCCCATGTTCTTGTGTTTTCACATTTGTATGGCTGTTCAATAGCATTTGCAGGGGTATAATCATTTACAGTAAAGCCAGAGGCAGGTCCCATGCTCAAGTCTACTGAAGATGGACTCTCATTCTGTCTTTGCAGGAGATTCTGGGTGTATAGTTCCTCCAAGGACAGGCGCAGATCAAGTACCGGATCTGAAGAATTTTCAATAACATCCTGATGATTAAAGAACAAACAATAAAAAATCACAGCCAGAGTTATATCAATATATTTTGCAAGACCATTTCTTAATGAATAACTAGTGGAAAACAAAACACAATGTAATTTTCATTACTCAAGAAGTATTAGCAAACATACAAATTCTTCTCTTAGCTGACATTCTGCATATCTATTTTTATAAATGCTTTTGTGTACCTTTCCTGCAGATCACGTATGTCATGTTCAAGTGAGTTATACTTGTACTATATACTGTACATGAGATCATTTAGATAGAATATTATGTTCGACTCACAAGTAAAATTATAGTTCAATCCACATAGGAAAGCAAGTAACGTCTACTTTCAAATCTTAAAGAGTAGTTCATTTTCAATCAGTATGAAGTTCCTACGTAAGATCAAGAACGTAAAGAGAATATTGATTCTGATTTACAAAATCTCCAAGGAAAAATTATTTTGATACGCATTTCTAGGTATTTAAGGAGAACAGAAAGCTATGTAATTCAAATTATTATAGGGAAAACTTTCATAAATATTCTGCAAGATAAACAAAGGGAATACTAAGAAGGTGTATAATAAGATGTAGGTTCTAATCTAGGCTCTCTTACATCATAACAGAACCTCTCTTGACTTCATATTTAATCTCTAAAATTCCCTGAAACTCTAAAATTCTAGTTCGACATATATGTATGCATCTATTTACAAAAGATATATTCTATCACTTATGTGCTTTGGGCAAGCAGTTGCTCCATCAACTGCTACTGAATAAACATGTTTGCCCTACAATTTTCTTATAAATATTTTTAAAGTACGAAAGTAGCATAGGAATACATTATCATCGGAAAAGATTCAAGCCATGCAGGTATATATATGTGTGTATTTATAGAGTATAACATGAAAGCTCTCCCTATGGGTCCTACTTCCTTTTTCTCCTGGTAGAAAGAGCTGGAATCAGCTGAATGTGTCTGTCAGAACTTTTTATTCATTTGCATACTAAATAAGTACAAGTACCAAGACACAATCACACATACATGCAGTTAAAAAATTTTTTAAACTAACTGAAACCATTAATTAAGTAGAATGTTTTTACTTTCTTTTTTGAGGTATCTTTATATCTAGACATGAGAGATTTCCGTGTCAGTAAATAAACGTCAACCTCCATCTTCTTATGACCACAAAACTACTCCTAAGTCTGAAGGGCCCTGGAGTGCAGACTCTGGAGTGCACGTTCAGACGCTCACTATACCACTAGCATCCTCTGTGCCTTGGTCCCTTCATCTGTTAATTGGGGAAAATAAAAATAATCCAGGACTATTGGGAGGACAGAGAGTGAATACCACAAAGTACTAAATAACACATCTGGCTTAACAGAAAATGCCCAATAACTGTAAGCCATTACTGTTATTTTTATTACACATTTTTGTGCACGTGAGAAAATTTATTTAGTATAAACTAAAATTGTGGGCCAAATAATACGGACACTTAAAATATTGGTACATATGTCTTCCAATTTTCTCTCACAAAAATTTGGGACTACCTGTGAACTAATCTTGCCAACCATAAATTCGTTTGGTAATTTGATCTGAAAGAAATATATTCTAATAAATATAAACCTTAGCATTTACTATGCATGTCCCTGACAATTAATGAGGACCTGCCATTTATATATCTCCTGTCAACATTCTCTTCATATATTATATCCAACTTTTCATCAGGGGGTTTCCACTTGTTCCTGTCATTGATATACTCTGTAGGTAAAGTTTGTAATATATACCACAAGTATTTCCCCAGCCTGTTACTTACCTTTTCAGTTTGTACATGTTATATAGATATATTTGCAGAAATTAAATTATTTATGTAATCAAGAATTCTTTATGTAACTCTTTATGGAATTCTTTACATAATCAAATTTGTCAAAATTTTCTGTGCTACAGAGTTTCAAAAGTTGCTTAACAAGTCCTTCCATACAAAGAAAATGAAATGCTTTCTAGTATTTTTCTTCTGTTTTATAAATGCTTTCTTTTCAGATTCAGTTCTAATCCTTCTAGAATTTATTTCAGGGTGTGGTGTGAGATATGGATCTCTTTCTATTTTTTCTAAAAGGGTAATCAATTTTTCCAACAGAGTTAATTACATTCCTCTTATCAGCATAAGTTATCTCTCTGGAATTATCAAATATTCCTGGTACAAAGAATTGAGGCAAGTGTGAATATCGTACAAGCCAGGAACATCTTTAGACTCTTCAGGAACAACGATAGGAAACCATCATCCTCCACATTGCTGGAACATAGACACTAACCTGTTGGCCCATTTACCCAAATCTGATGACTTCTTTGTTCTAATGAAAAACAACAATGCACTTACTACAGAATTAGCTTCTGTATTACTAAATTAATTATAATATTTAGCAGTATATCATCTTCCCCAGGCCTCAAATAAAGATAACAATTAAAACTGCTTTTCATCACAAAAGGAGGTCAAGCCGCCCTTGTTAGCTAGGGTTTACTATAAATCGTGTGACAGAAATTTCCATGCATTATTCATAAAGGAGTTAACACAGACACATAGAAAAGAAAGAGCTAATCAACACAGCAGACAACATACACCTACTTCAGAAACGTTTCTGGTTGCTGAACAACCAACTGAGTTTTATTTTTAAAAGTCTTATGGATCTAAAAGAAAAGCAGTTCTTCCCCTGTAAGATGTTCGAAAAGAACTCTATAATTTCCCAGTGCAACTTGGTACCTAAACTGAAGTCTTACAAAAATCCACATCAACACGTGCCCCTACTTGATATATATATTTTTTAAAGATTTTATTTATTTATTTGACAGAGAGCGCAAGAGAAGGAACACAAGCATGGGGAGTGGGAGAGGGAGAGGGAGAAGCAGGCTTCCTGCTGAGCAGGGAGCCCGATGCAGGGCTCGATCCCTGGACCCTGGGATCATGACCCGAGCCGAAGGCAGCCACTTAACCGACTGAGCCACCCAGGCGCCCCTCTGCCACTCTTTCTGAGATAAGGTATAGTACTTCCTCTGTTGTCTGTGTACTGACCCTACTGAGCAAAAAAGGGACTTCTTTTATACTTTGAGAGCTTGCAGTTTTGTCACCAAGACTTCCACAATCACTCTCATCATCTTGACTAGAGTGATTTCATTAGTTTTTGATACTAACCGTTTCTCCAAAGAAAGAAACAAGCAAACATTTTAAGCATGGGTGTGAAGGCAGCAATATTGATGCTACAGAATGACAGTAAGTAGAGATCTTTAGGAACAGATATTTTTTTTTTTTAATCACGGAATTCACTGGCTATGTTTTGTGTGCAAGGTAGGAGGAGGGGCTTCTAGCTTGACAAACACGGAGTTCAACTTGCGCTAGAATCAGTAGCATTTCCTAGTGGACCAATATGAGGAATGAAGGACATGCACCAAACTGGTAGTCATTTCATCCCTGGAGCGACAGTGAGTGTGGATATACAACGGAGGGTGGGGGTTGGGAGTGTGGATAAGGGGTAGAAGGGAAGACTCATTACATAAATCATCTTTATTGGGTGTATTTAAAAATCCAAAACAGAAAAAAATAAAGGAAAGCATCTTCTCCCCAAAACCATGTTGAGCTTTTAAACAGAAGTCTACAAGCGTTTAACTTTGGAAAACAATTATTTCTGCGTTTTGTTGTCTTTAAGGGTGACAAGGAAAGGGGGATAAAAAGAAAAAAAATTTAACCTACAACAATGAGAAGACCCACTGGGTTTTTGCCTTTAAAACTCACATCTCAATGACTTGCCTCTATTAGTCCAAATGCCATAGAAGTAGCTCTACAGTATTTTTCAGATTCTTGAGTAATGGTTATTTTCCTTAAATGATAATTAATCAAATTAAGTGAACACCACTCCTTAAAAAAATCAGAATGGTCTCCCAGATGGGAGAATTTTGGACAAAGGAGTTCCAACATATGCCTAGGAGCCTTTGGTATCTACGCTGCTGTCAGGCCCACACTCTGCTTTTAGGAGTCAGGCCTCCCTCCTATGACGAGTCCCTGCTCTGGGTGATTATTTCTTAAAACTTCTGGCAGGGTACCTGACCAAGATCAAAGACTTCTCATTAAGGTAACAAGAAAGGTGAAATTACCTGTGCATTTCCCCAACCACCAAGATTGGAAGTCAAAAACCGAGGAATCACTGAGATCCTCACACTCAATTTTACACTTCTTTAAATCAGTATGGAGGCTTCTGTCTTAAATATCATATAAGATTTTATGTTATCAATTAGAGGGCTCCAAAGTGAGTGCACTCTTAAGAAAAATGGCCAGAAAAAAATGGCCAGTTCTAAATTCCATTAACAAATTGCCATTCTGTCTTTTTAAAATAAATTTAGCGCAAAGAAACAGGAAAATGAATACATCATCTAATTTTTTATTTACACATAATTTTTTGGTAAATATCTTGGTGCTATAAAGATACCACAAAACAAAAACAAAAATAAAAAACAATGTTGCAGAGATTTACCATGATGCAGAAACAGTCCTACTTTCTAAGAAAACTGAAAGCACACAGAGGAGTTTCAGTGTGTTTTAAAACAACCTCATTAATGTCTTCTTTGTTGTTTTGTAGTTTAAATATTTCAGTTGATAGGCCAGCTTGCCAAAATCTGCTTTAACAAAAGAGTAACTGCTCAAGAAAAAAAAAAAAAGGAGGCAAATAGACTTCAGTAAGCCAGTATGTTGTGCTGCATACAACCAGCATTTGCCCTGTAAAATACATGCTTCTCAGTATGCAGATTGTGTAATCCCTTTAAGTAACAATTACTAAGTTAAACAATGCAATCTGTCCCACTGGCAAGAAGCAGCGCTCCGCTGTGGATTCGGAGAGTCCATTAGGAGATGAACTCAGCTTCCAGCCCCGAGGCCAGTAAAGCCTGAACACGTTCCAGACAGGACCCAGGCACATAGACAGTCTCAGGTGCGGCGAAAGAGGAGCAGCTGCTCCATTCAAGATTATACCTTGCAAACCAATTCAAGGAGATTTCCCAGCATCATTTGCAAGGATAACAGGTGCACCTTGAACATAAAAGAAAATGCTTGGAAAAGGTTCTGGCCAAAAAATTACTTGTTAATCAGAAAAGGAGGAAAACTGTGCTAGACCTGTGGAAAGTCTATTTTCCATCTTACTCAAAAATGCAGATTTCCTTCCTGCTGAATTTAATTTATATGGAAAATATATATTTCATGTATTTAAGAAAGTTGCTGTCTAGTTGTTTTATCTTGATTTTTAATGTTTGTTTATGGTATGTTTCCAACATGGAAGAATAAAGAAATTATATCCATACATGAACTCTTTGCCCAGACGTTAACATTTTGCCATATTTTCTTCAATCTCTCTTTCCTCTTAAAAGGATATAATGTATTACAGTTACAGCCGAATTCCCATGCTTCCTTCTTTCTCAAAGAATAACTTCTTTCCTGAAGTTGAAAAAAGTCATTCCTATACATTTTTAGCTTTTTCAATACACATACTCACACACATACTCCTAAAATACACTGAACTGTTTTGTGTATTTGTATTTCTAGAAAATATAAAAAAAAAAACTCCAACAAATCAATAGGAAGACAGACAACACAATATAAAAATTGCCAAAAGGTATGAAGAAGTCACTGACACAAGTGAAAACCGAAAGACCAATATGTGAAACAGTGTTCAACCCCACTAAAAAGCAGAACTCCAAATGCAAATAGTAAGATACCACTTCATGCCCAAAAGATTGGGTAGGTTTTAAAATATTACTTACCAAACATTATAAAGTACATCACCAAGAAAATGAAGAAGAGTTGGAGCATTTATGTCAATAATCTATTTCTAAAATATACATGGCACAGATATGTCAAATAGTAACTAAAGTCTTCATTCATACCCAGAAACTTAACCATACTTTGCCACTCACTGTGATTTCTATGTAAAGTATTTTTTGGCATCTTTTTATATTAAAACATATGACAGTATTAAATTTATCTTGCTAGTAAATATTGAATTAATACAAGAAATATTTTACTATCCAACTCTGCATGAAAATTGATTTTGAAACCATTAAAAAAATAAAGTTATCCTCATGATTTTTCTAAAGCAGACACAGCTAAATACACAACTTGAGAAATACATTTCATTAAAACTTTTCTATCATATAAATCCTACTCAAAGCCTTGGACCCTTGTCTCTCTCGTTCTGTACAACAGATCCTAGATTTAAATAGTACCCAGTGGTCTAAAAGATGCTCAATCAACATTACCTAAATGGAACTGCACTTTAATCTGATAATGAATCCATGACTGGAAAAACATAATGCCTCTACCATACTACTCCCAACATCCCCCATAAACACTGACCTCTAGAGAATTACACACAAGGCTCTCCCGTAAATAAAATGCAATTCCTTTGTACCTTGGGAGGAGAAGATGGAAGGGAGGGACCATAGTTCAGGCCATCGCTACAAGCACTGCCGTGAAGGGATAAAATAGAGGCTTGAGTGGAGTAGATACTGTCATTATCAGGAGAGTACTGAGACTCCAGTGTCGATTCATCTGCTAAGTCGGCCTCACTTGTGTCCACCTAGGAATCAAAACGATAATATCAGTTGGAAATTCTGGTTACATGTATGACAAGTCTCCACTTGAGACTAAAAAGCATACCGGCGTTCATCCTATTTTCGACATGACCTCTTCACCCTCTTCAACACATCAGAGACTGACCAAGGCAACGGAACAAGGACAGACTGGTGCCACCATCAGTTCCTTATCCCAGCAATAAAAGGACAACGGTAACAATTAACAAAGGGTCTGCGTCCATTCGAAGTTTAAGTGGTTCCATAAATTAAGGAAAATATTTACTTTCTCTAGTTCACGTTATTTTTTAAAACCACCTGCCCAACTCCTAGAATTTTATAATAAAATAAGGTCAATGCTTTTCCTATTCAACTAAAATAAACTATTATTCAGCAAGGCAGCTAGGCAATTACCTATTTATAAAGCTCACTAAAACAATATATCTTAAGTTATTTTTTTAAAGCGACTCCACATCCAGCATGGAGCCCAATAAGGGGCTTCAACTCATGACCCTGAGATCAAGACCTGAGTTGAGATCCAGAGTCAGATGCTTAACTGACTGAGCCACTCAGGCACACCTATTTTAAGTTATCTTAAACTAGATTTTAAAAACCTTTCAAGTTGCAGATTCGGAATTTGCTGGTGATCATCAGAAACCAAAAAGAGTATCTGTGATTAACAGATATACTAACAGACACGGGGCTACTGATGGTTGTGGGGAAGCTATAAAGCTGTAAACTCCTATTCTTGGAAAACTCATATAAAGTAGAACATTTCACTATATATTACCTAAAACTCCTAATACTATCTTCTGTGGCAGAACCAAGTGAAAGAATCAACTCATGAGGAGCTTAAAGCTCTATTTACAATTCACTCACAGTTATACCTTAGAATAGATAGAACTAACATAAATACTACCCTTCTCTGATATTATCGGCATTTTCTCTCTTGATGGCAAAATCCTATGTGTTCTACTTCTTTGTGATTTCAATTTGTTTTGCCAGGAGAATTATAACATTATACCAGGTCACATTCTTGCAAAAACATGCTAAGAATACAGGTACGCCCTTTCCAAGTGACCCTCTCTCTAATAATGTATTTTAAATACATGTTCAAATTCACTAGTGAATTACTTTGTGGAGGTTTACCCTTCACAAATGTTTATCATGTACAACAATCTAGACAGTAAATACTTCACATCGCTATCTAGACAGGTGGCATTAACTAAGCTTTGTGTCATGGATTAATTATATTGTAATGTGATATTATTGTATTTATTATAATATACACCAAAACTTCCTAAAAGACAATTTCAGGAGCTGGTTAGTTGAAAAATATTAACAAGAAAAACTGATCTCCCAAAAATTAGGACTATCAAAATCAAAGAAATAATACATACTCAGTTCTAAAGCAAGATGTGCACAACTGGTTATAAATACATAATGGAGAAAACCATGGGTTTTAAACCTCACTCTCTATTCTGATACACTGAAACAAGGATTTCAAAAGCTGGCCATATCCTTTCTAGTCACACTGGGCATTATTTGCCCAAAAAGAAAGTTAGGCCAGGAACCTGGCTTTAATAGGAGCAATAGAATAGGATGTACAATTTGTTATATTTATGTTGTATAAATGTCACATGTTTACTTGCATCTGGTGTTTAGCTTTGTATCTTAATTATTGCTATAGTATTGTCTCTTCTACCAGACAATGAGGTTCTTAGGAGCAAGATGCATGCATTTATTCATCAAAGTGGTCTCCAGTGGGCCACCAATACATTTATTCTAATGAATGATTTTATATAGATCAAGTAAAAATAAAATTTTAATTTAAAATTTTCTAGTAAATCAGTGGTGTTTATTACATTTTGTAATTTTAGAACACATGGGTTTTGACTATTTTGGAGGCTTTTGTGTTACTTAATAACCGAACCAATTGATGTGGTTTTCACATGATTTGTATCGAATGGAAAAAATATAGTTTAAGTTACCTCATTAAAAGGTAGCCAAAACAACTGAGTAGCTGAAAACAGCTAAATAGTGCCTAGAAATGGCCCAGGTATGAAATCAGAGCAAACGACTGCTTCACCAACTTTTGGTATGATGTAAAGATTAATTCTACTAGTTGCCAGAATGCTTTGCTAACTGAATTTCTTCCCGAAGTCCAACAAATAGGTTTTTCTTCCTATTTTGAACTATGAGAACCACTAGAAGTTGAAATGAAAATGTTTGGTTTTCCAAAACATTATGAACAAAGAGTATACAGTAAGGTTTTAGAATATTTTGAAAAGTAAAAAATAAGACACGTAAGATTTCTGAAAGAAGACTTGATATGTTGTGGCCACTAACCAGAGCCAAGTCAGCCCTGAAGAGGGCTCTGTCAGCCAGCCCTTCCTCCTTGCAGGAGTGTGGCGGGTGGAGAAAGGAATCCTCCTTAGCAGAAACATACCCTTCTTCTGGTGAAAGCTGCAGGGAGAAGGAGGCTCAGTGTTTGAGGATGAGTTTGAGGTAGAAGAGCAAAGAGGGAAGGAAGGAAAGCGGGGGGGGGGATAGAAGAAGACATAAGGAGAAGAGAGGGAAAAAATGGGAACGTTTTCAAATGATAACATATGACTTAGACATAGAATGATGAACATGAAATAGGATAAATATTCATATTTAATGTTTTTATTTGTTAAGATACAAAAGGACATTCTTCTAATACCAATACATCATCTGTTAGATGAAAATCCCTTCTAAATTTTTCATTCTCCTTATAAAAGATCAACAAAATCAACAATATTTTATATTATATAATAACCTTCTGGTCAGTTTTATCTGCCAAATATTCTGATTAGATAATGACTTCTTAATATAAAAATAAGTAAGGCACCTTTTAGGTGTTAAGATATAAAAGAAGTTGCAGGGAAAAAAAAACATTAAAAAGGAAGGATCATCTTCTCTCTGTCATCCCTTACTAGAATATCATTTTAAAGAATGTGATTTACTTGATAAGGAATGTCAGAGAACCCTACAGTGGAGTCTCTCAATTGAGCATAGCTTAAAAAACAGCAAAAAAAAAAAAAAAAACCCACAAGTCTACATGTACAGAATCTACTTAAATTACATTCCTAATCTATTATATTGCAACCTTAATCACACTGACAGAAAACCTAACATATTTATTCCAATCTCAAATAAAATAGCCTAAAATAGATTGTCTTGCCTACATCACCCTGCATCAGCAACACATGCAGAACTTCTCTCCTTTCCTCTGTTGTCATAAATATATTTCCATAGGTTACCAAAGCTCTTTGTGGAGTACAAAATAAGGCATGAAATATCTAACATTGCAAATGTATTAACAAAGCTTACTATTTGAACAAATTCTTTCATAAAGTCAACAAATTGTTATTTGATGTTTATGCAAATGTACCTATGTGTTTGTGTTTTCTTAAGGTATATTTGCCCTTTGCCTTAAAAATATATTTATACATTAAAAAAGTCCCACAAATATTGAGAATGTTTCTAATACTTACTTGGAATTCAGTGATAAGTGCTATGTTGTAATCACTATACCTAATAAACATACTGACATCATGTAGCATGAACTGATTAGTTGTTTTTAATACCACACTAATTAATGACAGGAGGGCGACTGCCTCCCAGGAGAAGAGCCACAAGCTGATGAACCCACTGTGAAAAGTTCAGTTTCTTGCTCTGCAGTAATTAGACAAGAAATGTGTTGAAATCAACAGAATGCGGGACCTTAAACCACACTGACAGAGATTCTACTTTATTCCACTATAATTAAAGATCGCACTGTTAGTTGTGAATGCTATTAATTTCTCTAATACCCTACTATATTGGTATAGACATTTTAAGGCATATTTCTTTTAAAATATTTGATTCTATATTCATCATGACCTTATTATCCAATAAAAAAGATCAAAGGCATACTATAAAAGCATAATTTAAAATTATAAATTTATTTCTGAATCTTTTTCTTTCCTTTATTCTTTTAAAAACTATTATTCAAAATTAAATCTTTACACTCACACAGCCAATAACCATACTAAAAGTCATGATTCACTCATGAGAACACCTTCTGAAGCTAAAAGTAAGCCTAAAAGCCATTTTGTTTACAAACTGAAAAAGAAAAATCGATAAAATCCGAATTCTTACAGGTAACGGTTTAGCAACTCCGATTCTCACAGTTCCTGCTGGCGCACCCTTCAAAGCCTGCACAGCTTCTTCAAGACTGCTGTTTTCCAAGTTAACATCATTGACAAACATGAGTCGATCTCCAGGAAGAAGTCGACCATCCTTTTCGGCAATGCCGCCAGGCACCAAAGAACGAATTACAATCACAGTGCTTGCTGGATCAATGGGATCCTGAAAGAATGGGGAAGGGAAAAAGATAAAAAAAAAAAAAGAAAGTAGCTCCTTTTTATTGAAAAAATGTTTTTATAGATTGCCCACTGAATTATAATGGATGGGTAATTGTTTCAAGTGCCTCAAAAAAGAATTTTCATGCAACACGTCTAAACAAATTATCTAGGTAAAGGCTATCTCCATTTTGAAGAGTTTAGGAAGAGTTCCCCTGAAGGATGGCATCCTTAAGTACCAAGTTGTTCCTGAGTAGACTACTTCAACTGTACAGATCACTATAAAATTATAATTTTAATTTTTGATAAATTGTCCAATCTTACAACTGTCTTCTGAGGCTGGACATCAGATATAGGAATTATTGACAACAGCATTTGTTTGTTTTTTAAAGATTTCATTTATTTATTTGACAGAGAGAGACTACAAGTCAGGTGGGGGGCAGCAGGGAGAGGGAGAAGTAGACTCCCCGCTGAGCAAGGAGCCTGTTGTGGGGCTCGATCCCAGAACCCCGGGATCATGACCTGAGCCGAAGGCAGATGCTTAACCGACTGAGCGCTACCCAGGTGTCCCCACAACAGCATTTGTTAAATAGGATGTTACTATTGTGGGACATCAGTAGATGTGAGTGTACTAGAAGGTCAGGCCTATCTTTCTGAAATGAAGAAAAACAGAAAGAGTCCACATAGTAGTATGTGATGATGCAGTGTTTTCAGATACACAGCAACCTTAATATTAGAACAAGGCTCCACAATCAAGCCCTATAAAGAACACAGCTCCTGGAAGTCACTGGAGATGGCTCTCTGGTTCAGTCTTAATTAATGAGGAGGCTCTCTCACACATGCATAAGCATTTCCTCAGTTACCCAGCACAGAGCGCAATGCAGGGTAAGGACGCTACACTTGACCAGTTTAAGTTTCTTCATAAATTTAGTCATTAAGTCAAATGACAAGAATCCATTTTCAATTAGAACTCTATAATTCACGACAGACAAAAGAAATAAGTATTTAATACTTTGAGTCTTACCACTGAAATATGAACTATCAATTATGAGCATGGAAATAAAAATAATTTAGACATATTCCCCAAATAACAAAAAAAAACTGTATTTCTATGATATTCCTAAAATGTATTTTGTATGTTCTTCAAATTTTCAAGAGCTGAAATCTAGAAAGAGTTCAATGAACTCAATGTTAAAAGAAACCCTTCATGATAAATAAACCATATAAATTATTATTTTGGAGGATTTGCTAGAAACAAAGAAATGTCTTTCATAACTCTGAAATATCAACTGCTTTTTCTCTTATCTACAATATACCTTGAATATATATCTTTTTTAAAAAATTGTTAAAAATAGGACATATTTACCTGATAATCTAAAATGCTAAAACCAAGTCCTTTGTTTCCTTTCTCCAGTTCGATATGCTGCACATCAACCTCCCACATGGCCAAAGGTCCTTGAACCTCCTCCGCATTCTGAGCCGCCTCGGTCATCGCCAGCACAGGTTCCTCAGTCTCCGAGGACCCAGTGAACTCGCCCAGATCTACATGAGGCTGCGTAACAGACCACACGGTTCTTATTTCAGGGGCACCAGACCAGCAGACACATACCAACACCACAAGGACAGGGAGAGTCCCAGCATCTGTCCAGAACAAACCACTCACAAATAAAAGGAGCAAGAGCTTATCATGAAACTTTTACAGATTAAGGCAGTAATTACTGAAGGTTGTTAAAGAGGCAGAAATACCTAACATGGAACAGGCATTAAAAATGTATGGTTCAAAGGTCTCCTATAAAAATGCACAATGGTTGTATCTCAGCAGCATGACCATGGGTGGCTTTCACCTTTTTTCATCAGTGTCTGAGTCACCTCTGTAGTCAGAAAAAAAAAAACTGTAAATCTACTTTGATATTAAAGAAAAAATTCTTATGACATATAACAATTCAAGAATGAATGGCTCTATGTAAATGTACTCTCTGCAAAGGTTCTCAAAGGTTGTGACTTGTGCACATGATTATTTCATTAATAAATTAGCATGCACAGTAGCAAGACAAGATTTGAAGTCAGATTAGTCTGGGCTTAAGGACTGTGTCTATGATTTCTTAACTGTGTTGCCTTGAGCAATATTCTTAACCTGAATTTCACAGTTACCCATTTGATAGAATTGTTAAGAATTAAATGAGATAACATTTATAAAGCACTCAGCACAGAAATAGGAATACAAAATGTTGGCTTCTTTCAGCAAAAATAAAGTAAATCTACGTTAACTCAGTTTTCTTCATCTGTATGAACATACCAATTTCAGAAAGACATGTTTTTGATGATGAAATTCTAGTTTATATACTATCTTTGCTGTTAATTATTACACATCCTAGGACCATGGATACAAATCTGTCCACCTGCTTTATTGTAATAATCCCATGTAGAACACATAAAAAATGTGTATGGACATGTATGGTGACAAGAGTGAGTTCTATGCAATTTGGAATTATGTCTCTTATTTAACCTACTCTACTCATATGAATATTACATTCTTCAAAGCTTTCAAAATTCTTCTACTGTACTGATTCTTGCAGTATAATGTAAGTCAAGTTCTAGCATCATGTCTCATTATACCTTAAATGAGATTTGACTAGATCGCAAATTATGTAAAGTCCAAATCTTAACTTTAGATATCTATTATGAGTCCTCAGAAAAGCTGATGAGCTCTATTTCTTGACATTTTGATTTGATGAAAAAGAATAAGCAAACAGGAAAATAGGAGGTCTGAATGTCACAGAATATTATCTGACATGCAGTATTATGACCTCAAATTGTTCACATTTAAAAAGTACAAAAATATGCAAGTAAGATTAAAATCACAGAGAGGATATGTCCATCCATATGTTAGCTATTTACAGAGCAGTAACCATGTGCCAGGCATTAGGTATCTTTTGTTTACCACATCTGTACTACATACTATTTACATCAGTTTTCTCTTCTATAAATGGGCACATTATGAGTATATTTTTCACAGGGGATACTATAAATAAATTATACAAGCATAAAGGGTGCCATAATACCTAATATCATTATACAAACTTATCTGAACAACAGAACCACCCTCTGAAGACAGGCACTATGATGTAGATTTTACAGAGGAGAAAAGTGAGATTCAGAAAGATGAAGCGATTTGCCCAAGGTCACAGAGCGAGTAAGCGCCAAGCCTGACTCAAACTCACATTTGTCTGACTCCAAGGTCTTTCCTACAAGCCACTGATTTTGAGGAAATCAAATGCCAAATGAAAGAAAAAAAAAGACTTAAAAAATTTTAGATGCCATTTAGACTTTCCATTATTTATTCTGGCTAGTCTCAAACCTGATACCTTTTCTGTCAGTTCAATATCACATAAGTCCAGGCTATCCAACCCTGACTGGCTGGTGGGCGGCACGGTTCGTCGACAGCACGCCATTGTCACCTCTATTGGCAGTTCTTTTAAAATATTCACCACATCTTGGTGATTTTCCCCAAGCAAAGTTATGCCATTCACCTGTGCAAAAAGAGAAGTTGCCCAAGAGAGAACATTTCATAACATGAGTACTCTTTTGAAACCAATCTTTTATTAAATAAATATGAATTTTACGATGGTGATTACCATAGTTCTACTGGGCTCAGAACTAGTTACCTACAGTAGTATGATCTAGAACAATGTTAGAGTTGTGTTGGAAATGGGACTTGTAAAGCACTCAGAAAAATCACCATTGTTCACCCGTTTCACATGCCAGAGTAGTAGTTTGGAAAGGGAGAAGTAATAAAAAAAATACCCAGGGATGAAGGGAAAAGGAACAGATTATTCTACAAATTGACATTTTATATCACTAAGTGAAAAAATCAAAATGGAAAACAATACATATTCTTTTTTTTTTTTAAAGATTTATTTATTTATTCATGAGAGACAGAGAGAGAGAGAGAGAGAGAGGCAGAGGGAGAAGCAGGCTCCCAAGGAGCAGGGAGCCCGATGCGGGACTCGATCCCAGGACCCTGGGATCATGACCTGAGCCGAAGGCAGACGCTTAACCATCTGAGCCACCCAGGCGCCCGAAAACAGTACATATTCTATGCCAGTATGCTTTTAAAAGTGGGAGAAAGAATATATCCAAATTTTCCTAGTTCTTCCTTAAACATATCGGGAAGACTGCAGAGTACCAAATGTAACGGTAGTTACTTAATGAAGGGTGATGAAAACTGGCTGGATTAGCACAAGAAAGAGACTGTTCAGGGTCTCTCTATGTTCTTTGTGATTCTGAAATATGTGAAAGTGATACCTGGTCTAAAAATTGAATAACTGTTTTAAATTTTTTAAAAGAAAGTTTTTATAGTTCTCTGGACTAAAACAAACAAAAAACACCCAGCATGGAATTAGGTCTAAAGATCAATATACAGACAGATTTGAAATTTCTACTTTTGGTGGATTTTTACTTGCATCTCTCTCTCAAGTACCCTTTGGAGAGGAAATTTAAAAGAAGAACTTACTTATTATGCATATTATTATTACACATTAAGCCTCCTGCAGCCTTTTCAGAATTTTATTTAAGGGGATGGAGGAATGGCATAGCTCCTTACTTCCAACAGCTCATCTCCACTGAAAAGCTTCCCACTGTGTCCAACAGGACCTTCTGGTAGAACAGATCGGATAAAATGATGTCCCACTGTTGCTTCCAGACTTATCCCCAACCCACTGTTCTCACTGAACTTGCTCACATGGGCCACCTGAAAGGAAAAAAATCATCATGAATCTAGTATTTTTTTCATTTGTTTTTTTTCCTCATGCATATATTTTATGTTCACCCCCCAAAAAGTCAACTTTCTCACAAAAGCTTCAAAAATGTTATTGTGGAGCTGCAAAGCTTTGGAGCTTTGCCTCTGAAAGAGTACTGATTATCTATCAGTTTCATGAGCCAACACAAATGCAGAGGAAGGAGCCAGGTGCCAGGACCTGAGATACTGTGCAGTGCAGCACCTACAGAAACTAGTAACAAGGGGCGCCTGTGTGGCTCAGTCGGTTAAGTGTCTGCCTTCAGCTCAGGCCATGATCCTGGAGTCCCAGGATCGAGTCCCCCACATCGGGCTCCCTGCTCAGCAGGGAGTCTGCTTCTCCCTCTGACCCTCCCCCCTCTCATGCTCTCTGTCTCATTCTTTCTTTCTCAAATAATAAAACCTTAAAAAAAAAGAAAAGAAACTAGTAACAAATGGAGGGTAATCTAAATGGCCACAGATGAAATCAAATGCCTGCGTTCGAACAACAGTATAGAAAAGACACACACTTAGCACTTCACTTATGTGCAAGGGACTGGGCTAACCCCATTTTGTAGTTTATCTCCTGCTTCTCATAAATCATTCCAACGTCTATCCTTGTTTCCCAAATTAGGAAAATGAAGTTCAAAGAGGCTATCTTACCCAGAGTCACATAGCTATACAAGAACTTTGAAACTTATGCAGTCTGAATCTAGAGCCCACACTCCTGATCCTATGCTGGTATCAACGGACAACACTGGTCATTAAAAGTAAACCAGAGCTTCAAATAGGAGAATGAACTTATTTCCTGTTACATTAAACAATGAAGAATGTTAGGAAATCACCCATTTTCACAAAGAATCCAATAACTATATTAAAATCAGAAGGAATACTAAAGATGATCTACTTCATCCCTTGTATTTTATAGTTCAGGAAACTAAGGGATAGAGGAACTGAGAAAAACAGTGTTTAATTAAAAAAGATATCTTTCAAATCTTGCTAATATGTGCAGGGTTATTATCAGAAGCTACATCATCCAATTTTGAAATCTGTGGATGAAATCCCTCTCACTCCCTAAAACCCAATGTAAATATCGCTTCATCTGAGCAGCCCTCCAAGCCCCTCCCTGATAATGTCCATCAATCCTTCCTTCTACTATACCACTCCTCTCATGACTATATTTAGGCTATATAGCTACATAGCAAACAATTTAAAATCATATCTTACTTTTGTTTGATGAAGGCCAATAAGCAGCTTGGTTCTTACCTATAGCACAGTTCGCCCTTGACAGATTACTGGGAGTGCCACCGAGAGACAACGTGCACAAAGGACAACCAAAAGTTCATGGTTCTGGGTCTCACCTCTATGACAAAGGGGCTCGTTAAACAGTTCCCTTCACTATTCCATTACCACCACAGAAGTGCAGTCTCAGGGATATGTCCCAGCATATTAACCCTACCCCATAAGAGGAATCCCCCAGCCTACTTTTCATGCTAAATTAACTACAGTTAAGCTGGACCTTATTGTATTCTTCCCTGACTTGATTAAAATGGTAAAAACAGCTGTACTTACTACTTATTTGACTGTTAACCATCTTGAGTGTTTTAAAAAAAAAAGATCATATCACAAAGATTAAATGAAACACTAAGAATACTGCTTGGCACAAAGTGCTCAATAAATGCTAGTTATTACATGACATCTGTTCTTTGATCTCTCCTAATCTAGAGTTGTTTGAATATTATAGGCAGTATGAAAAACTCTACTTAACCTAGTGTTTTATTTTTCCTTTTGAAATCCCTAAAATTTGCTGGTATACATCTCAAGATTGATAATTTACATTACCTTTCTTAAGTCTCTTTTTAGGATAGCAGGTCATGATTGCTATATAAGGTATGCAAACTATTAATAAACATAAAACATTCACTACGGAATAAATGGTATGAAAAGATGCAGAATTAAACCCCTTAAGCAAAATAAATATGTAAGGATAGAGTGGGAAAAAAATCCTCTTAGAATTTTATATATAAGATCATGATGATTTTTATTTTATCTTTAAGTATATTCTGTCATTCTATTCTGTTTTTTTCCATAAATTCCAGACTCAAGAATCAAAAAAAAAACCCATTCCTTTTGTCTAGATAATACAAATGACTACTCAAAATATTAAAATATTGATGAATTACGAGTCCTAAAATTTCATTCCATTTATTTCAGTTCCTTTGTTACTATCCAACTTTCTCCAACCTGAATTTTTAAATACCTCAATCATTTAGGTCTTCAAAAAAAGTCCTGGGCATTTGCTACTTCTCTAGCCCTCTTTAGGAAAATCATCTTTATTTTTGTCATGAACTTCCTGCTCAACCACAGTTACAAGTTAGGAAGTTAGGGAGGCTGAGCTAACCTACCACTATTTCATAATTAATCCCCATAATCCTTTGCCACTTTGTCAGCAGGGCAGCTTCCTGTTGTTGTGCATCTTCTATGTCTTCCATCTCTGCTGACAATAACGGATATCCTGAAATAGTCAACACAATTAAGTCAGTGACAAACAACAAAAACCTCCATATTTTTACATTCTATTCCAGAGGCACTGTGATCAGAACTTGTCTGTTGTAGCAAGCTGACTTTTCACCCAGTATATGAGTTACTCTTATTTCTCTACACATTTTTTATATTAGAGTATAATTGACAAACAATATCCTATTAGTTTCAGGTATATATCATAGTGGTTCGATATTTCCATACATTATGAAATGATCCCCATAATAACTCTAGTTACAATCTGTCACCATACAAAGTTATTACAATATTATTGACTGTATTCCCTATGTGTACAATGCATCCCCATAACTTATTTATTTTGTAAATGAAGTTTGTACATCTTAATCCCTGTCACCTACTTTGCCTGTTCCCAAACCTCCCCACTCTGGGTACCGACAGTTGTTTCCTGTATCTATGAGTCTGTTTAATTTCTTTTGTTTGTTTGTTGTCTGAGGACCAGCACTAGGGTAGATGCATTAGAATCATTTAGAAGCTTTTCCTTAGTTTGTTTAAAAAAGAATTGGGGACTTCTGATTCTAAGTCTAGAGCATCTTCCCACCCCGACCCTCCCATATGCACATTCACCAAAGCAAAGACATGATCTGGGCTTTTGAGGTGATTCCCCCACACCCATCCCTACTTACTGTATAAAGTTTCATGCTCTAAAACCTTTATATTCTTTCCCACTACTCTTGATACTCACTTTAGCCTAAATAATTTCTTCACCTACTAGTGTAAAAATGGCAGAATGCAATTAACACATATGAATCTTACATATCACACTCGCAGGGTATTACTGCAAACACAAATAGTCCTTTAAAATAATAAAAATAAATCAAAATTTTCAACAGAAAAAAAAACATTAATAATGAAGTAGATACTTTAAAGAACCACAAAGCATCAATATAACTATTTAGTGAAGGATAGCATACAAATGAAAGGAGATCAGTCTTAGACTCTGCTCAGTGGATTTAAGTTACTAAAGCACCTAAGCAATGTGACAAGTAAGGAAAGCACACAGCTCCCAGCCTAAAGATGGCAGTAATATTCTGGCATAATTGTATAGTAAAACAATACTGCTCTAAAAAATGTTTAAACAGCTTGATGGAGTCTAGGTTTATACTGAAAGAAACCTCAGAAAGGTCTAATAATTTCTCCATACAATTCCTTCCCAAACCAACTTCCCATTAAGATTTCAAATTTTTGAAAAATTGACAAGAAAAAGCCTCCCAAAACTGGACAGTTTCATTCCTAAGAGCTGATGCTTTATGACTATGAAAAGATTCTCATGTTTATTTTAAAAACACTTGATAATTTTATTATTGCTTGCTCAATAAGATATGGACATGTTGGCTGTACTGAAGGAAGGGGATTGACATAAAACCTTGTACATAACTGATTGATTCCTAAAGGGTTTTAAAAATTTGTAAGAAAGAAAAATGTATAGCTAGAAAATACGCCAGGTGTAAATGAACTATTTTACTCGACTAGAGAAATTAATCCCATCTATATATAAGGACTGAAAAGTATCTTTTTCTTTTTTGATAGTTTGTTTTTTAGTAATTTATATCCATAGAGGCTTAATCACATTTACAAAAATTATTTCTCTAAAAACCAGACAAACAAACAATAAAGAACATAATAACCTGGATCCAGGTGTTTACCTTCTTCTTCAATTGGTAATATGCTGGTGTTTCTACTCAAAGATGAAGAATCTTCATCTTTTTCATAATTTTCTTAAAGATAAGAATATTTTAGTAGTTACATTTATAATATAATCAAGCACATGAAATTTTTCAAATCCCACTTTATTTATCTGAACCCCAAGATGAATATTCTTTGTAGGTAAACTTTTCAATAATCACTTGTACTTAAAAGGGAAATTCTCCTGTTAACATGACAAAGAATAAATTTCTTGGAGCACCTGGGTGGCTCAGTCAGTTAAGTGTCCGACTCTTGATTTCAGCTCAGGTCATGATCTCAGGGTCGTGAGACGGAGCCCCATGTCAAGCTCCGTGCTGAGTTTGGAGACTGCTTAAGATTCTCTCTTGCTCCCTCTCTCTTTCTCCCTCCCCCACTCACTCTGTCTTCCACTCTCTCTCTCCAAAAAGAAAGAATAAATTTCTCGTGTGATTTGCCCCCCTGTCTCCTACTGCTGTAATAAACAGTATATGGCATAAATACCAGAATGGTCAATAGTTTGAGAAATGACACAGCATTTTCAAACCAAAAGCCTGACTTCTACCAACAAACTCTTACATCAGTCAGCTACTGGGGGATTTCACTAATTTTCAGAGATATTCATGTACCAACAGCTTATGAATGACATTTCTAAATGTGTTATTAAAGTAGATTCCTTTGGGGAAGGCTGGACATTTAGGCACATGAGGCTTGCAGATCTAGCCCAGGCAGAACAGGTCCTCCCTAAAGAGGAAAACATGGCAATGGCACCCAAAGGTAAGGCAGAGCTGGAAAGGTAAATGCACGTTTCTGACTCTGAAATGGTGCCTGAATCAACAGGAAAGAAAGAAATCTGTTTTATTCGGAAGCGCATTCTGCAGTGAATGGACACATCGCTAGTTCTGGTTAGTCCTAACCTCACCAAATTTCCTTTTTATTTGGCTCATAATGAACAGTGAAGACTAAATACCATTCTTTAAGTATTTTCAGAATTAGAAAAATATCTAAGTGATGTAAGGGTCTAACTGAAAACCAGTTTCACCTGGCATTACCTTTGCTTCCGCTGGCATTCACAGGAGACGGAACTGTGTCCTTTGTGACGTCCTCCCTTGACGTGAGCTCAGCCTCCTGCTTTGCTCCTCTTCTCATTAGTGTCAGGTGCACAGTTGGTCCTGTGTGTCGCAACACCTCTACTGCTTGTTGATTGGTAAAACCCTGAAGGTTTGTGCCATCTACCTGTGATCAGAGCAAGACGTGTTAAAAAATAAAGGAGTATTTGTACTACCAATTCACCAAAAGCATGTTTACTGCTTGTTAGTGGGAAATGAAGAGGAGTGAGTACTCCCCTAATTGGAGAATGAACTAAAACCTGTTTGGGGACCAGTAATAACTTAGATGCACTAGAATTAGAATTACCCAGGTGAGTTTTATTTATTACAGATGATGATGGTGTCTCACTTCTAGATATTATGAACCAATAGTTCTGGGGTGGGAATATTCTTTTATATTCCTCAGGTGATCCTGATACACAGTCAAGTCTGGAAGCCAGTACTATGCAGGATATAAAAGTGTAGAAGACAGTGACAAAGGCGGTCTCTGAGAGTGCTGATGTATTACATAACATACTTATCCTGGCTTTAAAAAAAGAAAGATGACAAAACTACCTTCCTCTTTATTTCTTTGCCTCTTCAGAAAATACACGTGACTTGCCCTTTTCCTAGTTCACAAAGGATAAAATATTTGAAGATGCCCCTGTGATCTTTCCAAACTACAGATATGATCATATTGTCCCAAGACTGCCTTCCACAGGACACTCCTTAAGCCAACTTTCCATACCGTGAGCACAGCTTAGAAAGACCTGTGTCAACCGTCCCCAGCTCCACCACCAATGTCTTCTGGCATGGTGCTGCCTATCCCTGCGCCCCCCAGCCCCCGAGGGCTCATCTCCACTCCCACCCTGCAACGTTCCCCTCAGCCAGGAGGGCTCCGTGGGTTTTGCTCCCCCCAGTCTAGACTCTCTGGACTCCCTCCAACCCATGCTCTTTCTCATCCATCCACCCAGAAAACACCTGTGCTTGCTTTAGATCTCAGTGTAGTACTTTCATAACTGAACTATCCTAAGGTCTCTGACTATAGTCAAAGCCCCCTTTACCATTTCTCCTTCTCAGCATTTATCATAATTTTAATATTATATTTTCTGTCATTATTAGTTTTGTGACTGCATGCTCCAAGAGGACAGGTTCTGATGTCACCAAAAATACTGTCGTCTGTACAACAGATATTCACCCCAAATGGGAATACAGAGCCTTCAATCCATATGTCAAGGATTTATTTGTAAAGCAAATTACCTTTTGGAAGGAATAAATGCAGATCATAGCACGTTATTTTAAATTTAAACCTCAAAGACAAAAATTAATATAAGATAAATGAACATGTTATTTACTATCAGATAGTAAAGGAAATAAGAAAAAACTCATAAAAATCTCAACTTTAAGGTTCCATAAACACTCTTAAAATTCACAGTACAGTTTTTATCTCCAACAGATTTTTATTGTTCAACTCTTTAAAAATCCAATTTAATTTTATTATGTTATGTTATCACCATACATTACATCATTAGTTTTTGATGTAGTGTTCCATGATTCATTGTTTGCATATAACACCCAGTGCTCCATGCAGAACGTGCCCTCTTTAATACCCATCACCAGGCTAATCCATCCCCCAACCCCCTCCCCTCTAGAACCCTCAGTTTGTTTCTCAGACACCATAGTCTCTCATGGTTCCTCTCCCCCTCTGATTGCCCCCCTTCATTTCTCCCTTCCTACTATCTTTTTTTTTTTTTTAACATATAATGTATTATTTGTTTCACAGGTACAGGTCTGTGATTCAACAGTCTTACACAATTCACAGCGCTCACCATAGCACATACCCTCCCCAATGTCCATCACCCAGCCACCCCATCCCTCCCACCCCCCACCACTCCAGCAACACTCAGTTTGTTTCCTGAGATTAAGAATTCCTCATATCAGTGAGATCATATGATACGTGTCTTTCTCTGATTGACTTATTTTGCTCAGCATAAAACCCTCCAGTTCCATCCACGTCATTGCAAATGGCAAGATTTCATTCCTTTTGATGGCTGCATAATATTCTACTGTATATCTATACCACATCTTCTTTATCCATTCATCTGTCAACGGACATCTTGGCTCTTTCCATAGTTTGGCTATTGTGGACATTGCTGCTATAAACATCGGGGTGCACGTACCCCTTCGGTTCACTACATTTGTATCTTTGGGGTAAATACCCAGTAGTGCAATTGCTGGATTGAATGGTAGCTCTGTTTTCAACTTTTTGAGGGACCTCCATACTGTTTCTTGAGTGGCTGCACCAGCTTGCATTCCCACCAACAGTGTAGGAGGGTTCCCCTTTCTCTGCAACCCCGCCAACATCTGTCGTTTCCTGACTTGTTAATTTTAGCCATTCTGACTGGTGTGAGGTGGTATCTCATTGGGGTTTTGATTTGGAAAAATCCAATTTAATTTTAAAAACTCAAATGCATATGATTTTGTCAACTTAATACCAATAAAGTTCAAATACATTTTTAAAAACTGCATTCTTCATTTTCAAAATTTGATGGCCTGAATTTAAAAACATATTCCTTACCCAAATGTCAGAGATGGTACCAGCACAGAAGAAACTGGTATAAGGGAATAACCATGAACTTTTAAAACTGGATTTCAATTCAAATTTCTCAGTATCTTCATCTGTAATATGGGAATAATGGTACCTATTTTCCCAAAATTACAGTGCCCAGCACTTTATACTGGGAAGAAACTCAGAAGCTGGTATTATTAACAGACTGAAGAAGTGATTAATAAACATGAAAGTTTCAAGACTTCTTGAGAGAAGTTTCTGTTCAAATATCATTACATTTGTTATACGTATGAGGTAAGGTCACCAAAGCCCAAATCGGGGCCCCAGGCAGCTCTGGTCTGCTATGATCACAGAGAGTGTTAAGACGTGGCTTCAGACCCAGTGGTACCATAGACAAGAGTGCTCTGGAACTAGATACAATGGCAAGAGGCTGCCTGTGTGCTCTCAAGGAAAGCTCCACTAACCTCATAATGCTCAGTGCAGACACCACAATTAGCAGGAACAATAACGGAGGAGAGAATGACTAATTGAAACAAGTGGAAACCCCCAGCTCCCGAGTACGATCAATCTATCCAGCCAAGCCCTCCCTCCACCACAGCTTACAGATATTACAAGAGAACTTGAGCCTATTAACAAAGTCAGAATATCAAAGGCAACATGACACTTTTCCTTACTTACAAGCCTATTTAATAATTTTTTAAAGATTTTATGTATTTATTTGAGAGAGAGAGGGAGAGAGAGCATGCACGTGGGTGAGCAGGGGGAAGGGCGAGGGGAGAGGGAGATAATCTCAAGCAGATTCTGCAATGAGCGAGGAGAGGGGGCGAGGGACTGGATCTCACGACCCTGAGATCATGACCTGAGCTGAAATCAAGAGTCAGGCGTTTAACCAACTGAGCCACCCAGGCTCCCAATATTTCTTTTTAATCAATCATAATTCCATTCTGCTTTTAGCAAGGATTTCTATACATCAATCTAAGAAGAATGAATATATGATTTAATCTGATGACCACTTTGGTCAACTTTTTAAAATACAATAGAATCCCTTGATCAAATAATTCTTACATGGGATACCAATATACAAAGGGAATAAAATGGAATCATTCGCTCTATTCTCTCCCCTGTAATGTCTACAGTGAAACCCTAGGGGTCAACAGAGCACAATTTGTAAAATGGGAATCTTATAACAAAGTAAGTTTCATGTTATAAAACAATACCTCCTCAAAATAGCAAGAAATAGTTTCTCAATCTTCTCACTGCCTGGACAACTACAAAATAAAAACAGAGTATAGCTCCAAACAGTTGCTGCCAAAACAAAACCAGAAAAAACAAAGACTGCAGTTGTGAAAATGCAACCAGTATAAAGAACTTTACCACAAGTATCTCAGAAGTCCACAAGATGGTGACATTTCACAAACCCTTAATGCATGGCCAAAAGCATTGCATGATGTTTCCTTAGAGTCTGAGAGGCCCCTAACTTTGAAGTAAGAGAATATTGCTAAAAGTTAAAACTCAGAACACTGATGACAGTGAAGACAAGTGACTTTATTGAAAACAAGAAAACCCTTCAGAAGAAGGGGGCTTCTCCTTTCGAGTCAACAATTCCCTTTATTACTGATCTTACCTAAGCAAAACCCTATGTGAGGTTCCACCTAATGAAAATAATGACAAGTTTGTTCTTTTTTTTTTTAACATATAATGTATCATTTGTTTCAGAGGTACAGGTCTGTGATTCAACAGTCTCACTCAAAAAAAAAAAAAGAAGAAGAAGAAGAAGATAGCAGGAAGGGAAAAATGAAGGGGGGTAATCGGAGGGGGAGACGAACCATGAGAGATGATGGACTCTGAGAAACAAACTGAGGGTTCTAGAGGGGAGGGGGGGGGGAGGGATGGGTTAGCCTGGTGATGGGTATTAAAGAGGGCACGTTCTGCATGGAGCACTGGGTGTTATACGCAAACAATGAATCATGGAACACTACATCAAAAACTAATGATGTAATGTATGGTGATGAACATAACATAATAAAAGGAAAAGAAAGAAAATAATGACAAGTTTGGAGGGAAGCTATTGTGCTTTTATTTATTTTTTAAGATTTTATTTATTTATTTGACAGAGAGAGACACAGCAAGACAGGGAACACAAGCAGGGGGAGTGGGAGAGGGAGAAGCAGGCTTCCCACCGAGCAGGGAGCCCGACACGGGGCTTGATCCCAGGACCCCGGGATCATGACCTGAGCCGAAGGCAACCACTTAATGACTGAGCCACCCAGGCACCCCCGCTATTGTGCTTTTAAATGTGCAATTATTTCAGGCCTTCAATAAGGATCTGCTTCGTAATTAAACTGTACTTACGCGCCAAGTGTTATACCAAGTATTTTAATTAATTACTCATTTGGTCTGCCAAAAAATATACAAGGGAAGTTTCCTTTTCCCAATTTTGTAAGTGAAAGAAGCTTACTAAGCAGTTATCAGAGGATCCAACAATTCTATTCCTAAGTATATACCCAAGATAAATGAAAACATACATCCACACAAAAACTTGTACATGAATGTTCATGGCAACATTATCCATAACAGCCAAAAAAATGGAAACAACCCAAATGTCCATCAGCTGATGAATGGGTAAATAAAATGTGGTATATCCATACAATGAAATATCATTCAGCTATAAAAAGAAATGAAGAATTGATACATGCTATAACATGGATGAACCCTAAAAACATGCTAGGCGAAATAAACCAGTCACAAAGGACCACATATTGTATAATTCCATTTGCATGAAATATACAGAGTAGGCAAATCTATACAGACAGAGAAAAGATTGTGGTTCTCTAGTGCTGGGAGGATGGTAGAATTAGGGATAGACTGCTACTGGGTATGGGGTTTCCCCTTAAGATAATGAAAAGTTTCTATAATTGACTGTGATAATGGATGCACAATTGTGAATATACTAAAAGCTACTGAATTATACCCTTTAAATGGGTGAATTGTAGGCTATGTGAATTATATCTCAATAAAGCTGATTTTTTAAAAAAGTTTTTTAATGGATTAAAATATATATCTTAGGGAAAAAAAGTACACTAGCTATGTTTTTAATTTTTAATTCAGTATTGGATATGGATTTAGAGTCTGTATCTATGTACTCTCTCTCCACTCTTTTTCTCCAAAATTAAAAAACAAATAGTTAATTTTCCTTGTATGACAAATGAAAATACAGTGGTTAAAACTCATTCCCAGGTTATAGCCAACTTAAGTGGCAAGCACAACTTGATCTTCACAGGTTTCAAGAGGTGAACAGGTGTACTTAGTTTTACAGAACTAAGCCCAAGAAGACTCAGAAAGTTGTAATGTAGAAGCAAAGGCAGAAATAAGGGCATCTCTTTTTTTTTAAATTGTGGTAGAAAACACGTAACAAAAAGATTAGCATTTTAACCATTTTTACCTATAACGTTCAGTAGTGCTAAGTTTATTCAGTGTCATACAATAGAACTCTAGAACGTTTTTACCTTGCAAAACTGAAACTCTGTAACAATTAAACAACAGCTCCCTGTGTTCCCCTCCACTCAGACTCTTGCAACAACCATTGTTTTTATTTCTATGAGTCTGTCTACTCTAAGTACCTCATGCGAATGGAAACATACAGTACTTGTCTTTTTGTGACTCATTTATTTCACTTAGAATAATGTCCTTAAGGTTCAACCATGTTGCAGGATGTGACAGAACTTCCTTCTTTATAAGACTAAATAACATTCCATTTCATATATATATACTTATACTTGAGTTGCAATCTAAAGGTAAAGACCATATATCATAAACTTTAGTGTATATAGGTATAATCTTTATATATATTTATAATATATATAATCTTTAGTGTGTGTGTATATATATATATATATATCTCACATCACATCACAATTTGTTTATCCATTCATCCATGGATGGACATTTGGGTTACTTCCTCATCTCAGCTATTATGAATAAAGCCACTATGAACATGGAATCTTATGTTAACATTCTACACTCTTATCATAATAAGATCCCAAGGAAACAACAGAGACTTAATTAAACATAAACAAATACGTATTAAGATAAATCGGTATTCTCCAAAATGTCTTTCAAAGAATGTTAATATATGTTTGAGGAAAGAAAGAGCCCATGATTACCAAAGTTTAGGAAAACCCAAAGTAAAACAGCTGACTTTTCTCTACTGCATAACTTCTCAGAGTCTTAGATTTTTCAGTGTGCATTATGAACCCCTAAGAGACCTTATAAGTTTTTCCTAAACTTCTCTGACCAGGAAGCCCCTGGTGTAGGGTCTCTCAGACGTGTGTTTTAAGGAGTAGTTACGGTGGCCCAATTTGCACAGAACACTGAAGTGAAGTTGTATTCTTCTGTACACTGCCCTGAATACCAATATGCTCAAAACATACTGAGGTTACTACAATAACAATGATGGGCTTGATCTGATAAAGAGGGAGTTAAGATCTATTTCTTTTATTCCTGTATATTCTTATAGCTAAAAAGAGCCCTGGACATGGAGCCAACAACAACAGTGTCATTCCGCTGATATTAAAAAAAAATGCACACATCCCAAAATTCAGATTCAAGTACACTAAAGATTATGATATCTGGTCTTTACCTTTAGATTGTCTGCAACTAAAGTGTAAGTATATTAATGTAACAAATTCGTTATAACCAGAAATCAGATATATCAGAAATTATTCTATTATTTAGAACTGAGATCAGTGAAGCTTCTATCCAATGTTCTACAAAATAACAAAACGGGTAATTGTTAATGACAGCTTCAAATCACCAAAAAGCTTAAATTAGTATGGAGCTAACTGCAGTTCTCAAAACTGAGTAAACTAGGAGAATGCATTTCTCAACCATGAAAATTAACAAATCCCTTATTAAATGTGTTACTTACTGCTATAATTTGGTCTCCAATTTGGATTCTTCCATCATGTTCAACAGCACTGCTCTTTGTAATGCTCTTTACAAAGATTCCTGAAGGTTCTAAGATTAGAAACAGGGTTTTTGCAAAGCACACTCAAAAACTATCCATCCTTCATTCTCCAAATATAAAGTCCTAATTTTGAATAAATATAAATCAACAAGCCACAGGAACAAAACCAACAGAAACTTAGTCTAGAGAATAAGACAATGATTTTGTCTATCAAGCACAGTATCAGAGTTTCTGACACTGAATTATTCCTAAGGAAGTTTTTGATCAGTTCATTCAAGAATCTGAAAATACATAATATTGATTCAATATTTCTTTTTTTTTTAAGATTTTTTATTTATTTATTTGACAGAGAAAGAGAGACAGCAATAGAGGGAACACAAGCAGGGGGAGCGGAAGAGGGAGAAGCAGGCTTCCCGTGGAGCAGGGAGCCCGATGCGGGGCTAGATCCCAGGACCCTGGGATCATGACCTGAGCCAAAGACAGACGCTTAATGACTGAGGCACCCAGGTGCCCCATATTGATTCAATATTTCACAAGACAAAGATATTAGAGGCAATTCCCAAGTAAAAAAAAAAAAAAAGTGTTTAAAACTACCTAATTTTTGGGCGCCTGGGTGGCTCAGTTGGTTAAGCGACTGCCTTCGGCTCAGGTCATGATCCTGGAGTCCCGGAATCGAGTCCCACATCGGGCTCCCTGCTCAGCAGGGAGTTTGCTTCTCCCTCTGACCCTCTTCCCTCTCGTGCTTTCTATCTCTCATTCTCTCTCTCTCAAATAAATAAATAAAATCTTTAAAAAAAATAAAAAAATAAAAAAATAAAATAAAACTACCTAATTTTTTATCTCCAATGTAACCAGCAATGGTAATTCCTAATCCTTGGACATTTTTAGTGAGTTCTACATCAAATGTCTCACTTTCTTCACTTTTCTGAGTAGAAGCATCAACCTAAAATAAAATCAATAAATAAATATGCAGAACAATAAACATGTAAACAAACAAGATAAACTCAAAAGGCAACAAGCTATATTTAGGAATAATATAATATCATTAGGTGGCAAAGAAACTACAGAAGAGACTACTCCTTCAATCTTGACAACATGAACTGAGCATTACATTGTTACTCAAAAGTAATGCCTGCAGTAAGGCTGAATACCCACTTATCAGAGAAATGCGTTATGATTTGTATATACAAAATTTTAAAAATCAAATAGTCTCCTATTAACAAATCTATTTGCAGGGATGGCTTATCTTCATTTCTACAATTGAAAGAACTCATGTTTTGAATTCAGGTCAACACGTTCAAATCTGAATTTTTCTCATCATTGCTTTGCTCAACTCTCTATCAGGAGTAAGAATAACAAGTCCAGCTAACATTTATTGAGTAGTTTCTATGTAACAGACACTTGAGATGTCTTAATTTACTCCTTAGAACAAGCCTATGAGGGAGGTACAATTCCTATCAGTTTTTCTGAGGAACATAAACCTTTCCAAGGACAAACAGTAAGCAGTCTATTAGAGGCAGGATTCACATACAGGTAAGTTGGTTGCAAAACCCCTGCTCTTAAAATGCTCTGCAGTGTGTAAGATCCCTAGTAGTATATAGGAGCCATAGTGTCTACTCAGGACACTGTCCACTAACTTGCTGCTACTACTACCTTAAGTGGATAGTTGATTTGAACACCATGGATAGGATTTAATCTATCTTCCAGACATTTTATTAATACACTGATGATGATTTTGAAAACCTGTGAAATGCAACAAGGAGCTATTTAAAATTGTTACTGTATTTGTTTTGTAAATTCAGACTTTAACTTAAAAAGTTCTTTATAAGGCAAGCATGCCTTTCTGCATTGATCTTCATCCCTGAAAAGACAGCTGAAAGCAGGCTCCTCTAACATGTAAAACTATTATTAATTATACATTGGGCTGAAGGGCAAGGCTCTCCGAATTCAGCATTAGTGGACTAGCGCAGTAAGTCATCAGCAAGCTTCTGGCATTATGTACTTGTATGGTACCAGCAGATTCCCCAGAGAACCCTACAAAGATCACAACAGAATGAAGGTTCGAATGGACATACAGGTTGGGGCTAGCTGGTAATATTTTCTTACTTTCTTTAAGCAAACTCTGACTATATCTCACTGATAGTCCATCTAAATGAGATATAATTTTATAGTAAAGTTTGATTTATTTTTTTCATTGCACATAATTATCTGTGCAAACTTAGCAAAAGTTTAAAGTTTAGATAATTACAAGAAAATGACAGGATGAAATCTGCTTCAATTGAAACAAATGTGTTTTCTATTTTTAATAAGACTTATGCGAGTGCTATTTTAGAGGGTGGCAATTTGACTATCGAATGGTTTTAAAAGGGGCACAAGCTTCAGAAATGATGATATGCACAGAATAGATATTTTTCTAAGCTTTCAATTACATCAAGTGGTTTTCGGTATTGCATTCATTTATATATTGCTGAATAAAATGTTTTGTTTACCACAAAAGAATGTGATTTAAATACTTTCATACACAAGCTTTCTTTACTTCTTTTTCTATGCAAAAATAGCAACTAACTCAATCCTAAAAACAACACAATCATGGAAATTTCAAGTGTTCTAATAAAGTTTTAAAGGGTTTGTGGAGGAGGTGAGGCTATTAAAAAAGAATCCGTAGCAACTAATTAGAAAACACTTTAACAGAAAAATATCATAGATGTTTTTAGATCTATGAAAAAGGAATGCAGGACTTGCATTTGCTATAAAGCTTATCTAGAAATTGGATGTGATTCTGTTTTTAAATATTTAAGAGATTTTTGGATAAAATTATTTCATTGATACTCCCACCCCTCTTCTTCCCCTCAAAAAAGACACTGAAAGGAAAGGTATTGAAAGAGAATGATGGAACTCACAGCCTGCCTAACAGAGAGCCTTCTAGATAGGAGAAAAATAAAATTAAACATTTTAGTTATCAGTAGCAAATAATTCTTTAAAATTTTATCATCTTTCAAAAGATTATCCTCATAAGTGTGCTGCTTAGAGAAAGATGTAAAAGAGTAACCTAGAATTTTTTAAAGAAACCTATTTTTCATCTGTTACACGATTCCTAATTGATAAGATATTACTAGTGCTGAAACATGTCTACACTTGAATTTTCATTCGTTAGCACGAACATATGAATGAATATCATTAAGTCTAGTTTCTAAACAGCACTATCATCTAAATGCTATTGTCCATGAGGTTCCTAGTAACTGTTTCTACCTACTTACCCGCACTTCTGGTGTACGAGATGGGGATGAGGAAAGCGTGGCGCCCAAAGAAGAGGGTGCTGCTGGTTCTTCTACGGCACCTCTTGCGATCATCAATTTAACTCTGTTTCCACATTGCCTGAGCACTTGTGCTACTTGCTCACTGCTCATTCCTGCTAGATCCGTGTCACCGATCTTTAGAATGTGATCTCCACTACACAATCGCCCATGCTGAATAAAGAGACCAGTTAATCAGGCTACTAATATGTTAAGTTCATCAGAGAAATCCTAAATGAGGGAAAGAGAACAATTTAAAAACAGTAATGTGAATTACCAGTCACAGAACATTAAACATGTGGTTGTTATTTTAACTGTCTTTTGATGCATCTTAACATTATTCAATGTGATATAAGTAACTGAAATTCACAAATACTCCTTAAATCAACAGTTGATAAGAGCTTTTCAATTTAATTTCTACCCACTATATACAGGAAAATAATAAGCCTTTTGTAAGTTTTTTGAGAAACAGACAAAAAAAAATGCCACTAAGTAAAGATGAAGCATATGCAAATACATATTACTCAAAAAATATAGAAAGACCACAAAAAAGCAGTGAATTAATACATTTCTGTCTTATACTTTCAATTAAAAATATCCCTAAAAGAATAATTTTCAGATGAAATAGATGAAAATTTAGATGGATGAGTCTTATTATCCTCCATATAAGCAGTGTTCACTAGAAATTTCTGAAGGGACAGAAATGTTCTGCATCATCCAATATGGCAGCTACTAGTGACATGCAGTTACAGAGCACCTGAAATGTGTTCAATCCAACTAAGGAACTGAATTTGTCATTTTATTTAATTTTTTAAAATTTTCTTTATTTATTTTAGAGAGAGAGAGCTTGAGCAGGGGTAGGGTGGGGGTGGGACGGAGGGACGGAGAGAGAGAATCTTAAGTAGACTCTGTGCTAAGCGTGGAGCCCGACTCAGAGCTTGATCTCATGACCCAAGAGATCTGACCTGAGCTGAAACCAAGAGTCGGACACTTAACTGACTGCACCACCCAGGCACCCCAGGCATTCATTTTATTTAAATTTGATTAATTTAAATTTGAATTTTAGAAGTAGCAAGTAGCTACAAGTAGCTATAGTGTTAGACAGTGCAAGCTTGTACTGAAGATAAGGCTTAATTTATTGCAAACCAGTCAACTAGGGGAATTTCATAAAATACTGTTAAAGGCTGGTTATTATTTAAAAGGAAGAAAATATGCATATTATTGTGCTACTGTCAATACCTCTACTGATAAAGCTGCCATTAAACAGGCTTTCACTTATGAATATGAGAAATACTTGATGAACTTTCTAGTTTAAGTTCAAACACACATGCAAAAACAGACAACTTTATAAACAAAATGTTATAACCAAAGCAAAAGTTACTTAACGCTAGAACTTTTCAAATTAAAATATAAATCATAACCAGTAACTTTACAACAATTTTCCTCACATATATTCCAACAGTGTCACAGAGCATAAATGGCAACGCTTTAACGAACTACTCCCGAGTAATAAAAATAGGCTGTGCTTCATTTACAAAGATGACACCATCACTAAAGGGACAAGTCGAATCTTGTTTTTTCTCTCAATAATAAAGTATTCTTCTTTCCATAACACCTTGTGACTATAAAACGGCTGACTAGGTTTATAAATACGATTTATGATCATAAAATAAAGGACAGCTATCTCTACAATGATCAAAACCATAACCTGGGCTTTAGTCTGGCTCTACAAGAGTCTCAAGATCATTGCCTAAAACTGTAACTTAAGGGGTGTCTGGATGGCTCCGGTGGTTAAGCATCTGACTCTTGATTTTGGCTTAGGTCATGATCTCAGGGTCCTAGGATCAAGCCCCACATCGAGCTCTGTGCCCAGCAGGGAGTCTGCTTGAGATTCTCCCTCTCCCTCTACCCCGTTGCACTCTCTCTCTAAAATAAACAAATCTTTAAAAAAATAAATAAATAGAGCTGTAACTTAAGATCAATGTCCCTCTTCAAAGATCTTTCTCCCAGGGCTAAGAAAACACTTTAGGAAAAGCCCAGCAAAGCAGAAGTTCTAACTCAGCTTCTTTGACATTATGTAAGGCCAAAGTTTCTTCTTTCTAACAGAAAATATAAAAGATGAAGGCATATAATTTGATAAAACAGCATAAAACACCTGTTGGAGTAGCTTACCTGGTCAGCTACTCCTCCAGGCAGAATGGTTTTTACGATCACTCCAGTTGCTTTTCCTCCGACGATGCCAAATCCCAGTCCAGATCCATCGTTCACCAGTTCAATAGTCTCCACATGCTGCCAGTGAACCTGAAAACAAAACTCCTATATGAATTTGAAAAAATTTGGTGGAAAAACTAAAATTTTATTAGAGTTGAGATTTTTGTGAATATTATTTTGTGACTGGTATCAAGTATTGGAGTTCAGATATAATAATAAGCCTTAAGAATGTCCCTTTGATTTAGTATAATTCCCTTTCAACAGATTGTTACTGCTATTGATATAATCATTCTTGAAATTATCAAATACATCTTTATAGTGACCGCATTTAACCAGTTGAAGATAAGCACTGATTTGCAAGATCCTTTGTAGAACTTCTAAAAAAAGAAAAAGATCAAGGAGAAATCATCACCTGTTAAGATTATCTTCTATAAAATCTTGCCTCACAGGATTTCTAATTAGAGGACTCCTTGAAGTCACTGACAGCTAACTCAAACAGTATAATTCTGTAATTTATAAAGCAAAATCAAGACTATTATCTGTCTAAAGATAGAGTCAGGTTTGTTGAAAAACAATTTTTTTTTTTTTTTTGAGGAACGTGGTCAACTAGAAGAATACACAAAGAAAGGTAAAAGTTGATGTAGAAGGCAATAACTTAATAGTAATTAATTAATATTCCAAGCTAGGGATAGGTAAAAGAATAAAATGGGAAAAACTCAAGAAATACAAGGACCTACAGGAAATGGAAATCTGTAGACAACCAAAAAGGACTACAAAAATAGTATCTGTCCCTTTTACAAATCTTATGTACTTACCGGGTTAGAGTGAGCTGAAATTGTGCTGGCTGCAGATGGAGAACGGGAAACTATGGGGCTGATGAGCTGAGGCAATGAGCCTCTGGCAATAACTAGCTGGACATTATCTTTGGCTTTCTGCAGGATGCTGATAGCCTGCTGATGTGTAATTGTCTGATCAAGTGCCTGTCCATTGATAGCAAGGATCTGATCGGTTTCCTTCAATCTTCCATCTCTATCAGGAATGAAAAAAGGGGTAAAAGACATCTGACAGCTCTCAAGGAAACGACAGCTTCTTTGCATATATTTTCAGGTTATTTTTAAGCCAGTTTTCTAACGTCCACGCTTTTTAAGCTTTTCCCTGCAATTTTATTTTTGAAAATGTTAAGTTTGGGCTCCAGTTATCTACCCCTAATCAATCCCTCCCATTTAAAAGCCACCTTCTTTACAGCTACTCACTCAACCTATATGTTTTGTCTTAGATGTTCCTATTTACTACAAGTAAAAGCAAAGGTGTATACATTTAGTTGTTGTGAGTATATTAACAAAATATAGCTCAAGTTATCATGGGTCATTTGTATACTTTTCTATACTGCAACTTTTAAATCCGGTCAAAATGAGACCATTTAATAATAATGAGAATAATGTCCTACTCAAATTCTCCTTTCCTTCCTAAAAAGTGCTTATGACCACATTTAAAAGACATTCTCCCTCCTAAGGACTTGCTTTTTATCACAGTAATGTTAAAGATTTCTAAAAACTGATTAATAACAGATTATATTAAGTTTCTGTTCTTATCCATTTTCCTTCTCTAAATTCTCCCAAGGTCATCAACACCTTCTGAATACAGTATCAGAAACGGAGAAGACGTCGTAAGAGTCGTACCTGTGGGCCACACTGCCCTCTTGGATCTCCTGCACGAATATTCCCAGTTCTCCCCGGTTTTCACTCCTGAGTCCCACAACACTAAACCCAAGACCTCCACATGGAGGTTTGAGGAGCTCAAAAACTTCTATGTGGCGACCCTGTTCAGGAAACAAAGCAAGAAATCACTCTTAATTAAAAGTTAATCACTCCATTCACAGTTACCTTATTAGTGGCATTACTGAGTTTAAAAAAAATAATTTAAAAGAATTTTCTCAGATAACCTTTATCACGCATCACCTAGAGTGACGTATTTTATTATTGATCCTGAAGAATAAAAAAAAATGAAATGAAACAGAAAAATTTCTGAACCATCCAAACTCACACAAAATCCACTTCTTTTCCATTTCAATTTTTTCGGATGTTATAAATGTCCTCATAAATATATTTAACCATATATATTATATATTTTATAATGTAATATAAACATATACATATTCTTCCAATTATTCAGGACTTGTTTACACTGTTCTATCATAACTAACAAGAAGAAATGTTCTTACCTGGGCCATATTCTTGATTAGTTGATCAAATTCATCACAAGTAGGTTTCCCATTGATGTGTGGAGTACCAGATCCTGTAAATGCTTCCAGATTCCCATTATTTGAGGATGATAAGAACAATTCATTTTGCAGAATAGGAATTACAGCTGGACTGAGATGTGGAATGTGAGCATATTCGACATTTGAAATTGCCAATGTTGTAGTGTTTACCTAAGAGCAATATGAAGATTATTAACAATTTTGACATTCCATAAACAATTTCATAGAAAACATCCTGAGTGGTAATAATGAAGTACATATGAAATTTCAAAATTCCCATACCCTTTGATTTAGCACATTAATTTCAAAGAGAAAAATGAGAATAACAAAGATATATGTATAAAGGATGCACAATACAGGATTGTTTATTAGATGGGAAAAATTTCAAAATCTACCTCCAGTGTTCAACTTTAAGGTACTCATTAAAACACCCACAAACATACACAATTCACATACACACAAAAGTGAAAAAGACTAGTTATCAACCAATGTGTACAGTACAACACAATGCACATTCAAAAAAGATGTTTATATTTGTATTAAACGTCTGGGAGAATATACACCAACCAACCAACATAACATTAGTTGTCCCTGAGAGACAGAGGGTCATTTAATCTTTTATATTCTTGAATTTTTAGAACAATATATGTAGTAAAGAATTTGGTCTTTCCTGGGGCCCCTGGGTGGCTCAGTCGTAAACATCTGCCTTCGGCTCAGGTCATGATCCCAGGGTCCTGGGATCAAGTCCTCCATCAGGCTCCCTGCTCCGTGGGAAGCCTGCTTCTCCCTCACCCACTCCCCCTGCTTGTGTTTCCTCTCTCGCTGTGTGTCCCTCTGTCAAATAAATAAATAAAATCTTAAAAGAATTTGGTTTTTCCTGAAGAGAGGTCTGACGTTTACCCCCAGCTCTTAGGAAGTAACCTCTAAACCCCTGGAGTTTCCATATATTCATGGTGGGCTCCAAGGCCACAAGATATCAGCCCCAAACTGACACTAAGTTAAATCACATAGGCAGTCAGTCATGCCTATGAAATGATACCCTAATAAAGTTTCTGAACACCAAACTCAGGTGAGCTTCCTGGATTGGCAACACACCATACATACCATTACACATCAATTCTGAAAAAGAAACACTTTGTGAGGAAAATGGAAGCTTCATATTTGAAATCCTCAGGCTTGCACTATGTGTCTCTTCCTTTGGCTGGTTTTTTACCTGCATCCTTTCTTTATAATCAACCATAAGCATGAGGAGAAAAACTTCTAGTAAGTTCTGTAGGTCCTTATACTGAATTAATGAACCTGAGGGGGGTTGGGGAACATCCAGAACTTGCAGTTCATCTCAGAAGTGAGGGTGGTCTTTTGTGGATTCTTCCCTCTAACTTCATAGTTAGACCTTAACTCTTTGCTGTTGGTGTCAAAAGTCTCCAGCGGACCTGGAAGCCTGGAGGATTGTACCCTCAAGCCTTGCCATTTGACTAACTCCGGGTACAAGGACATAAGTAACAACAATGACAAAAAAGATCATTCCATTCTGGAAAAAAACATTCTATGATTACTTGTATGTGCCTGTTATACAGAGCATCAAGTTAAAGCTAAATAATTTCCCATTTCTGTAGGGTGTCTGTACTGTAATTCTTTGCAACAATTTTTATCAGAAAGAGTACATCAATGATGATTTTGGATCACTCTCTGAACTCATCTCCTGCACTATGTCCTTCACCCAGCAGGATCCAGCTCTACTGACCCCTTCACAGTTCCTCAAACCAAACTGCTCACTCTATCAGCCACGTACATCCTTCCCCAACATCTACATGTTTATTGTTTTACTTCATTCAGGTGTGCTCAACTTTATCCCAGAGAAGCCCACCCTGACAACCCTACCCAAGACAGCACCCCACCATTATGCTCCATGAGCTTACCCTGTTCTGTTTTTCTTCTTGGCACTTGCCATGGACCCTGTCGTCATGGAGCTTCCATCCAAATCTGTGTGGACAGACTAGAATGTAGAATTCCCCAGTGGAGGAATTAGACTATTTTATCCTCTCTTATATCCTTCATTCTCTATAAGAGTGCCTTGCACAGAGTTGGCATTCAATATACATTTGCAGAATAAATGTTTATTTTTTGAGGGATCTACTCTGATTTCATTTCCCCAACAACCCCCCCACTATCATTATTTCCATTTTTCAGATGACAAAATTACACGAAGTCACACATCTAATAAGTAGATTATGACCAGGATTTTTTCATCACGGAGTTCTTATGTTTGTACTATACGCATAACAAACAATCACTTGAGGTATCATTTCTGGGAATAAAACATTAGGTAAAATTTACACTGACAGAGCAATCAAAATATTTTACAACACATCACCAACCCATGCCTAAGAGTTTGTTACCTGTCCTTAAAATTAAACAGAAGACTCAGTTAAGTTAATAAAGTTACCAATAATCCAACTTATATTGGCTTATACTATATTGGCTATCTACAATCACCGATGAAGAGAGATCACTGTGTTGAGAAGAGGGTTTTGGGAATCCTTTCAAATGGTTATTTTAAAATCTACAGCAGGCATGATCAATTATTATTTTTTCAAAAGCAAGCTCCTTATGCCAAACTTGTTTTTTTTTTTTTTTTTTTGAGCCCTGGGCCATGGCAACTTCAATAAAGTCTGCCAGCAGAAGATACACTGCTCAGGTTGAAGCAGATGGCATAATGAAATCTGTGACAGGCTGAGGATCCCACACACCAAGACCTAATGCCTATAGTATGTTTGCACAGGAGAAAAATATTTGGACTTGTACTACGGTAAGCCAGAATGAACAAATCACATTCCAAGAATAAAGATTTTATCTATATGAAGTTAACTGGTGAAACAGAAGCTCTGATTTTATGAAAGACTAGGTGTGAAGGCACTCTAGAAGTAAAGTTACAGGAACAGAAAAAATACAATACTATTAGAATCATATAAAAGTACTGAGTATCAGTGGTTTTTTTTCCAAATTTGTTAAAGTTTTAACCAATGTCAGTGACTCCTCCTGTCTCCTCCTGGCCCTTGAGGTAAATATAAGAGCAGAGGTTAAAGAGATCACATATTTAAAAACTACAATTTAATCATATCATCATACAAAAGGGTTGTTTTTAAATGTGCAGATTTACACTCAGAAAAAAGCACAAAGGCACCTTCTAACTCTGCTGTAACTGTTTAATAAAATGGCTCTTGGAACTATAATCTCCTTGCAAAACAGGAATGGTTCTTATTTGTCTTGATAGACCTGTTCATAGCAGACACAGCATAAATGTTTAATAAAAAAAGCTTGACTCCCATCTTGGTTTATAAATATAAAATAAACAGAAGAAAACACAACTATCTGGTATTTTTATATACAGATAAACAATCTGTATAATTTATGGAAGTTGCTAGTAAATGAGCAAGAGTCACCAAATAATTATCTGTTCTCTGCTTAAGTTCTGGCTGAGTATTTCAATCTAAAAAGTCCTTTTATGTTCTTAGTAAATAACATATTAACTTATGGATTTGAATTAATGCTAATACCTAAAACATAACTTAAAATGAAGGTTATGTAAATTACTCAATTAAAAAGCCAAATTCTTTGTAATAAGGCAGGATGAAACACCCTTCAGTATTTAGAAGTATAGATGAAGTCCTCTTTTAAGACACAGTCAGTGGGGGCCTGGGTGGCTCAGTCAGTTAAGTGTCTGATTTTGGTCCTGGGATCCTCCCTGGTCAGGCTCCCCACTCAGCAGGGAGTCTTCTAGCCCCTCTGCCCATTTGTGTTCTCTCTCTTTCCTTCTATTAAATAAATAAATAAATAAATAAATAAATAAATAAATAAAATCTTTAAAAAAAAAAAAAAGGATGCAGTCAGAACAGAAATTGGTTCAGTTATTTCAAAAGGCCAGATAAAGCAGAAATCATAACACAGGACAAATACATAAGTATTTTATTTTAACTTAAAGCATGAATGTATTCATTCACAAATATCCTGATGCATGAGAGCTCCCCACTCCTTTCTTGCACAAACTGCACTCATTTAATATGGCATTATTTTCAATTTCAGTCTCTTTAAGATGAAGCAACAACGTGGACTCCTGAAAAATAATTTCATTAAAGAAACCTGGATTTTCATGAGCTCTTTCTTCAGTGTTTTACAGTTTGATAACACACAACCAATTTACCAACAATTGTTTTATCAATTCTTTTATGTGGTTTTTCAAATAAGTAAGTTTCATGGAAAAAATGCCTTGCCATAAATTTTTATATTATGCAACAAAGACACGTAATTATAAAAATAATTATGACAGGCAAAACATCTCTAAAAATGACTGATAAATGCACATTTACCTGTGACAGCTGCAGAAGCACACACAAGAAAATGTCTGAAAATAAGTGTTTTGTGCTCTGAGCATCAGTCATATGCCTCGCAGGACAGTATCGTTTCACTTAGCAAGTCACTATTTGGAGGTGGGCTAAGAGAGCTGCTTCTGTAACAGCATTCCAAGAAGACAAAAAATTCTCTTTAGTTCTATATACAGTTAAGCTCACCCTGTGGGCATAGCTATATCAGAGTAACCCTTCCACTGGATCAATCAGAAACTTTATATAAAGTGCTGTGAAAAAAATCTGTAAAGGTATCAAAAAGAAACAATCACTTCTGCCACATTCTATTCATCAGAAGCAAATCAATAAACCCACCCCACACTCAAGAAGAGATCACACAAGAGCGTGAACACTAGCAGGGATTATCCGTGTCCATCCCAGAGGCTGACTACCACAGCACGTCACAGTAAAACTGCTGAAAGCCAAGACAAAGGGAAGAGCTCAAAAGCCACCTGAACAAAATGGCACATTACCTTCAAAGAAGAATAAAACTGACAACTAATCTTTCAAGTTAATCAATGACAAACAGGAGACAATAGAATAAAAAAAAACTAAAAACAAAAACAAAAAACTGTCAATTTAGCATTTTCAAAATACCTTCCCTACACACATACACACAGTGTTGCTTTAGAATTCTACTAAAGAGGGGCACCTGGGTGGCTCAGTCATTAAGCGTCTCAGGTCATGTTCCCAGGGTCCTGGGATTAAGCCCCACGTCGGGCTCCCTGCTCCGCGGGAAGCCTGCTTCTCCCTCTCCCACACCCCCTG